CCGGGTGGAGATTTGTGTACGGTCGCGTATGTACGTGGACTTGTGTATGCGCACATGTGCATGTACAGCATTTTTGTCAATCAACTGCTGGATGACCGCCTCCCCCGCACCACGTGGGTATTGAGAGTTGACTGTACTTTGCCATGCTGGTCATTGCGGATTGGTGAAGTAGGGATGCATAGATGTGGGAGCAAACTTCAGAATAGATTTTGCTGAACTGCCCTCTGCTGCCCACAATGCAGCAGCATATTACTGCCTGGCGTTTATGGACACCCACCAAAACACTATCCAGGCTCACTTCTATTGAGCTCCCAAGATAGGGCGCATTCTGGAAATGCAAAGGCACATAAACAAAGATTTCACGTGCAGCCTTTAAGCATGCACTCAATGCTGTCATGGTGTATATCCACTGAGCCAATCTCCCACTTGCCCACCTATTCACACTCACCCACAACGACCTATCCACCTTACAAACTCACCCAACCAACCTGACCAGTATTGCTCACCAGTACACTTACCTGAACAGCCCACTCCTGCGCAATGCTGGTGTAAATGAGGGTTGAATGAGTCATTTTTGGTAACTTTGTTCTGACTTGAATATATTTTGTAAAATTTGGGTTTTGTAATAAATTGTTTGTGACCCCCATATGACCTCTTAAAACATGACAGCCACAACTCTCCAATTGATGTGCATGTTCACAGTGCTGTGCCGATGGTGTACTTTACAATTGCTTGTGAACAACACTAACTTTAAGTCTGGTGGACTGTGAGCAGTAAATGATGAAACACGTCTATTTAATGTAAATATAAATGTTATTTAAAATAACAATTGGACCCCTTCCACACCTTGCTGATGAGGCCCGGAGATGTCAAAACCAGTGAAGGCCTTACCATCTACAAATGCTGAGAAATGTTATTCCAGGAGACTGATAGGCAGAGGGACTAATCTTTCACCACTGTTAGCCTTGGTTGTGAATGAAAGGGAGGTTCCTGGGTTCATACACACGTGTATGTACACCCTGCATTCATACCACATGTACAAACACCGACCAACGTCAGTGCCTCACATGAGGAACGAATGCATGAGATGCCTCGAGTGGTGATGGGCCGAGACTGATGGTTGTGGTGGAAGAGTGCTGTTGGAAAGTTCAGCTGGCACGTGTATGTGGTTGCCAGGGTTGTTTGCGTACCTGCGAGTGGAAGGTGGGGGGAGTTTAGCGTTGGTCGGTGGCGATAGCTGTAAATGTGAGATGCGACTTGTAAGCTAAGGTCTGAAATATTCACAACTATACAGCCCTGCAATATTTGCACAGCTACACACATCCACCCACACCTACGCACAACAGGTCCGAGTTTGTCCTGTGGTTGCCACTCCTTCAACCCTCCCCCTCTCGTGATTTGGTTTTACCACATCTCCATGTTCCGTCTGAAACATTCCATGCATCCAGTGTCACATGACCTGACGCTCGAGATCACAAGATTCTACACACCTGGGGCAGAAGACCATTCCCACTTTGTTGGGGTCAAGTGCGGTGGGGGCAACTCATGTGGCCCAGGTGGATAGGACCCATGCCATCCACCTGAGCAGAGGGTCATGTGACACAGTTGAACGGGGTAATGCTGCAAGGCGACCGAGCAACCAGAACGCGCGCGAAGAGACCTGTTCACCTGTTTAATCCACAGCACCATTTTGAAGAGAACACACAAGACATTAAATCACGTGACACCGTTCGGCAAAACCACAAGACCCCCAGCTGCAGTGGCCGATCGTGTAAGAACACCTTCAATGGAGGACGACACAACCCAAAAACAAAATGGGTGGGGGCCTGTATTTTGTCGAGGCATTCATTAGAGGGAATGATGGATGGGTCATGAGCCTGGATATTCAGGGTCAGTCAAAAGCACAGATGCTTTGGGAAATTACGTTCAAGACATGTGGGCAACTTTCCTTAATGGAGAAAAGCCTGTGGTTAATGTGATACTGTTGTGAGTCACGAGTGTCGTCACTACAACGCTAAGTCAATTGAAAGTTGTTTTTCTTCCTAACTGAATCTTCAAGCTCATGTGGGATAACACAGCAAGAGTGACTCTTTATACACGTGCAGAAAAAAAAAACCGTGAAAGTTCTCCTTCAGAGCGAGTCTTTTACTCCGCAGGTTTAAAAATGGGTTTACTACCGACATCGTGATGTCACGCTCGCTGGTCTAAAACCACCACGTTCAGTTAAACCACCCTGTGGTTCACCCAACTGTTTAATAATGGTAACAATTTTTTAACACGCGACATCCCCATACAGCACTTGGAAATTACTTGATGCGATTTTATGTAAACAGGAAGAGACCAGCAAAAGCGAGCTAATGGAAGGACGGCACACTATTTTTTTTTTACTTACGATTTACAATGTTACAAAATGAAGTATAACTTACAGGAATACAATAAGAAGATGCTTTATCTGGAACAGATGAACATATACCATCTGCACTTTATTGCAATTGCACTTTCATAAAAACTACGGAATCACGCAGCCTCATTCGGGCGGCTTTGTCAGGCGATGAGAGATGTAAGAACAATTACGTGGCAAATAAAACTGGCAATACCAATTTTAATTATATTTTGCAAAGTTTTTGGAGATTGTAAAACAGCCAATGTAAAAAGGGGCCAGCGTAGCTGCTGAAGAGCCGTTTAATGTTTTGGGTTGTGTCGGCCTTGAAGGGAAAATGCACATTACACCCATCTTGCTATCTACACAGAAAACGAATGGATGAACTTCACTCAAGTTGTTTTAAACCATCGGCCACAGAATCCATCGAAACATAGGTTTCAAAGCCAACAAAGATTGCGGTTTCACAACCACAAGACCTTGATTTTATAACAATGTGACCCAAGACTCAGATTCACACTGCTCAAGACCCTCTCGACCAGTGGTTCTCAAACTGCGTTGGCCCACGGACCACTCAGCCGATGCAAACATTCCTGTGAACCACCCAGACCCAGGGCAAAACACGTTCACTTATCTCTAAATACCAATACAGGAGGATTCATATTACTAGAATTAACAGTTCGGTTTCTTATTTGGGGGGGGGGGGGGGGGGGCATTTAGATGTTAGGGTTAATCAGGGTAGTTTACCGAACTTTATTTTGAAATTTAATACAACTAAAATATGAATTTACGTTCAAAACAAAGTATAACCGTTGTCATTATACCCGGATCAACCTGCATTTGCATCACAGCCCCACGGGGCACCTGGAGGACCGTCGCGGGCCACCTGTGGGTACCGGGGCCCACACTTTGAGAACCGCTGCTTTCGACACCCAAAGTCAGATTCACAAGATCCTTGGTTCATAACTTGAAGATATTGAGGTTAGAACCAATATGACTGCAGGTTAAAATCCCAGATTTCATAATCCTGGATTCTCAAACCAACAAGATTATACACGTTCAGAACCACAATACCCCCCCCTCCCCCAAGTTCAGAACCCAGGCCTTTCCCGAGTGTTTCTTGTCATCATTGAGGTCGTGTTCTCGTTTACTTGAGCTGCCACAGTTAAAACGTAACCAACCACAAACGTACAAAATGATACGACTGCCTTATTTTTTTTTAAACATTTCACCCATCAATTAACTTACGTTTTTTACAACCCACAAAAGGTGAATACATTCCTGAATTGCAAACAAAATTCACTCATTCACATGCCACACTTCCCTAACCCAGAGCCGATCACCGCTAGCTATCTTTTCTGCCCCGTGTAGCATTGCCAACACTTTAAAGCAGAAAGTCACCAATTGACCCTCAAAAAGTCGCAAGACTTCATACTGACAAACATGTAGGGGGTGGAGGGGTGGGGAAGAGGTCGTTACGGAGGGTGGGGGCGGGGGCACGGTAACCCATTGAGGTACGAGGTCGTCTTCTAGCCTTCCTCTAGATCTACTCCAACGGCTGCCCCAACACTTTCTCACCCATAATGCACCATGTGTGCATAATAATAGTAAGTCTGCAGCGACAATGGGCGACTGCATGGAATTAAGGGAGCCACAGGGGTTTCTGGGTGGAGCAGTGCATCACGGGATTTGTACATCATGTGCCTTCTCACCAAGATGGCACGTCTATTAGTGACGTTAAAGACCCCTGATTGGCGATGATAAAGACCCCTTCTAGCACCCTGCCCCACAATGCACCGCGGCTCCCCAATGGCTAGTGCTCCCATCCTTGTGCAGTCCCACAATCCCAACCCACACAGCACCAGCGAGTGTTTAGCACCATCACAGCCAGCACCATCGCAGTTATCGGGAAAAAAGGCGCTTCTGGTCCTATCTTCTGCCACCCAACTCCCCATAACTGCAACTATGTTGCAGGAGCTATGTGGATGAGGAGTTTAGGGGGCTTTCCGATACAGTAGTTATGGGGCTTATAAATGCAGGCGTGAGGGATTCAAGGGGTGAGAGGGTTGATGGTTTTTTGATATGAAGAGTTGAGTGAGGTTCCATTTTGGGCTGAAAGCAGAAATCACCACCCAGATTTAACATCAGCCTCAGGGGTTTCACCAATGGCTGTCAAAACAGAGTCCGCATCACCGAGATGCTGCATTCAAATCACAAGGCCGGGTGTGTCTCTCTCAGGAGGTCCATAATGGCTGTGTCGGAGACACTAAGCCAACACCACTGAGATCCAGGGTTTTAAATAAATATTTCAGCCATGCATGTTAAACCAGCTATTGGTCGGGGATTTTGGCATCTCTACCCAGCCACTAATGGCCATACAAAAGACTTGCTTGCATCTATAATTTGGCTGCATGGAGAGAAACTTGTGTTGAAGGAGTGGCTCTCCCAAGTGGGGCCCAAAGGGCAGAAAAGTCTTCCTCCGACATCAGGGCCTGATGTTAAAGCTGAGTATTGCGACAAAGTTTTCCGTACGAGCAAAGAAATCCACCGCAAAAAAAAAATTTCAAATGTTAAAATATCAGCGACACATTCACAAAACCACCAAACGAAACACAAACACTCAATTGTGCACGGGAATTTAAAATTCTGCAAAAAACACATTGATCGCCACCACCGTCGCCGTATGAAAACACAAACACCAGCACGCAGTTACAGCTGCCTCCACCATTGGTGACCGCCAGCGCTACGAGTCGCGGAGACGGAATAATCCGACACCAAGGCTCGTGACTGCTCTCGGACAAATTGACGAGTCACAAATATTTAAATTACGAAAATTACTGGGGATGTTTGCTAGGCATGGTTCCAACATGCCTTGTGACATCGTGCTATCATTACTATTGATGATGTGTCAGGTTTGTTTTAAACATTTATACTTAAAAAACATTTTAACGACAAGCAACCGAGGCTGTCTAAATTCTACTCAAATCGCTCCATTCGCTTCGGGTCGCGTTTGACTGCGACTGCAAAAGTCAATAATTCTGGCTCAGGACAACTCAATATCGAGATGGCACTGGATTCAAGAAAGCGCGCTGTCAGACCTCCCGGGGAGATGTCTTCTCCCTGGCGTGCGGAGGGAGAGGATGAAAAGGTGGAGAAGTTTCTACAGCTCAGCCTGACCAGCCATATGGCGGGGTTTTGTTTTTTTGTTTCGGGAGGAAACGGCGCTTGTCGCATTTGGCGGTGCCCCGTCTGGGCCCCAGAATGAGGTCAGAGTGATGAGAGAAATAGCACCAAGACGCCTTCGAGGTTTCCTTGAACGCGCTTTGCCCCCCGTGGGAGCGCAGTTCCCTCGCGTCACCAAAATCACCCATTCTCTCCCCCCACCCAAGACCACAGTCTCTTCCTTGAAACGTGAGCCTACCCAAGATTTAAATTCCTCCCCATAACCACCCACCCCCCCGCTCCCGCACCTTCTCAAGGCCCAAACACTTCCTTGAAACAGTTTGCCCCTTAAGCCCCCATTAACCTTGAGACCCCAGTCTACTCCCGTCCCCCCCTTGAGACCTTTTGTGTTCAGAGTCAAGGGAAGTCTTCAGCAGTAACTTCGAGCACCAGAACTCTCCTTGCATAGCTGATGGCGAGACAGCTCGAGGTAGAGGTGAGAGAGTGCTGAGAAAGGGCAGGGAGAGACCGGGAGGGGCAGTGAGACAATGAATCATGGGATAGTCAACTCTAGACCACCCAGCACTATCACCACTAGAACTCGAGACCACCCAGCACTATCACCACTAGAACTCGAGACCACCCAGCACTATCACCACTAGAACTCGAGACCACCCAGCTCTATCACCACTAGAACTCGAGACCACCCAGCTCTATCACCACTAGAACTCTAGACCACCCAGTACTATCACCACTAGAACTCGAGACCACCCAGCACTATCACCACTAGAACTCGAGACCACCCAGCACTATCACCACTAGAACTCTAGACCACCCAGCGCTATCACCACTAGAACTCGAGACCACCCAGCGCTATCACCACTAGAACGCTAGACCACCCAGCGCTATCACCACTAGAACTCTAGACCACCCAGCACTCTCACCACTAGAACTCTAGACCACCCAGCACTATCACCACTAGAACTCGAGACCACCCAGCACTATCACCACTAGAACTCTAGACCACCCAGCGCTATCACCACTAGAACTCTAGACCACCCAGCACTCTCACCACTAGAACTCGAGACCACCCAGCGCTATCACCACTAGAACTCTAGACCACCCAGCACTCTCACCACTAGAACTCTAGACCACCCAGCACTATCACCACTCGAACTCTAGACCACCCAGCACTATCACCACTAGAACTCTAGACCACCCAGCACTATCACAACTCGAACTCTAGACCACCCAGCACTATCCCCACTAGAACTCTACCCCACCCAGCACTCTCACCACTAGAACTCTAGACCACCCAGCACTATCACCACTCGAACTCTAGACCACCCAGCACTATCACCACTAGAACTCTAGACCACCCAGCACTATCACCACTCGAACTCTAGACCACCCAGTACTATCACCACTAGAACTCTAGACCACCCAGCACTATCACCACTAGAACTCTAGACCACCCAGCACTATCACCACTCGAACTCTAGACCACCCAGCACTATCACCACTCGAACTCTAGACCACCCAGCACTATCACCACTAGAACTCTACCCCACCCAGCACTCTCACCACTAGAACTCTAGACCACCCAGCACTATCACCACTCGAACTCGAGACCACCCAGCACTATCACCACTAGAACTCTAGACCACCCAGCTCTATCACCACTAGAACTCGAGACCACCCAGCGCTATCACCACTAGAACTCTAGACCACCCAGCACTATCACAACTCGAACTCTAGACCACCCAGCACTATCACCACTAGAACTCTACCCCACCCAGCACTCTCACCACTAGAACTCTAGACCACCCAGCACTCTCACCACTAGAACTCTAGACCACCCAGCACTCTCACCACTAGAACTCTAGACCACCCAGCACTCTCACCACTAGAACTCTAGACCACCCAGCACTATCACCACTCGAACTCTAGACCACCCAGCACTATCACCACTCGAACTCTAGACCACCCAGCACTATCACCACTAGAACTCTACCCCACCCAGCACTCTCACCACTAGAACTCTAGACCACCCAGCGCTATCACCACTAGAACGCTAGACCACCCAGCACTATCACCACTAGAACTCTAGACCACCCAGCACTATCACCACTAGAACTCGAGACCACCCAGCGCTATCACCACTAGAACGCTAGACCACCCAGCACTCTCACCACTAGAACTCTAGACCACCCAGCACTCTCACCACTAGAACTCTAGACCACCCAGCGCTATCACCACTAGAACTCTAGACCACCCAGCACTCTCACCACTAGAACTCTAGACCACCCAGCACTCTCACCACTAGAACTCTAGACCACCCAGCACTATCACCACTCGAACTCTAGACCACCCAGCACTATCACCACTCGAACTCTAGACCACCCAGCACTATCACCACTAGAACTCTACCCCACCCAGCACTCTCACCACTAGAACTCTAGACCACCCAGCGCTATCACCACTAGAACGCTAGACCACCCAGCACTATCACCACTAGAACTCTAGACCACCCAGCACTATCACCACTTGAACTCGAGACCACCCAGCACTATCACCACTAGAACTCTACCCCACCCAGCACTCTCACCACTAGAACTCTAGACCACCCAGCGCTATCACCACTAGAACGCTAGACCACCCAGCACTATCACCACTAGAACTCTAGACCACCCAGCACTATCACCACTAGAACTCGAGACCACCCAGCGCTATCACCACTAGAACGCTAGACCACCCAGCACTCTCACCACTAGAACTCTAGACCACCCAGCACTCTCACCACTAGAACTCTAGACCACCCAGCGCTACCACCACTAGAACTCTAGACCACCCAGCACTCTCACCACTAGAACTCTAGACCACCCAGCACTCTCACCACTAGAACTCTAGACCACCCAGCACTATCACCACTCGAACTCTAGACCACCCAGCACTATCACCACTCGAACTCTAGACCACCCAGCACTATCACCACTAGAACTCTACCCCACCCAGCACTCTCACCACTAGAACTCTAGACCACCCAGCGCTATCACCACTAGAACGCTAGACCACCCAGCACTATCACCACTAGAACTCTAGACCACCCAGCACTATCACCACTTGAACTCGAGACCACCCAGCGCTATCACCACTAGAACGCTAGACCACCCAGCACTATCACCACTAGAACTCTAGACCACCCAGCACTATCACCACTAGAACTCGAGACCACCCAGCACTATCACCACGAGAACTCTAGACCACCCAGCACTATCACCACTAGAACTCGAGACCACCCAGCACTATCACCACTAGAACGCTAGACCACCCAGTAATATCACCACTAGAACTCTAGACCACCCAGCACTATCACCACTAGAACTCGAGACCACCCAGCGCTATCACCACTAGAACTCTAGACCACCCAGCACTATCACCACTAGAACTCTAGACCACCCAGTACTATCACTAGAACTCTAGACCACCCAGCACTATCACCACTAGAACTCTAGACCACCCAGCACTATCACCACTAGAACTCTAGACCACCCAGTACTATCACCACTAGAACTCTAGACCACCCAGCACTATCACCACTAGAACTCTAGACCACCCAGCACTATCACCACTAGAACTCTAGACCACCCAGTACTATCACCACTAGAACTCTAGACCACCCAGCGCTATCACCACTAGAACTCGAGACCACCCAGCACTATCACCACTAGAACTCTAGACCACCCAGTACTATCACCACTAGAACTCTAGACCACCCAGCACTATCACCACTAGAACTCTAGACCACCCAGCACTATCACCACTAGAACTCAAGACCACCCGGTACCACCTCACCTTGCCGTCAGGCCACGCTGGCCCCTCAGCCTCTTGCGGGGAACGGCGGTTGAACTCCGAGCGGCACCCATACTGCGCCGTCCAGCCCGAGCGGCGGCTCCACGCCCGGCCTCGCCGGCGCCGCCCCCACCTTCCCGGCCGCCCCCACTCTGCCCGACCGCTGCTGCTGCTGCTGCTGGTACTGGTGGCGCTGGTGGTGCGCGGGCGGCAACAGTGGCGGCGGCGGTGGCGGTTGGGACGAGGGGTTGTGGAGATTGTTGTGGGGAGGAGACACCAGCAGTGGCACCAGTGAGCTGAAGGTGGTGCCCAGCAGTGGGAACGCCGACCGAGGGAAGGAGGCTAGCGGGGGCCGCGCTGGCGCCGGGGAAGTCCGGAGGACCGTGGTCAACGACGGTAAGGAGGAGGATGACGACGACGACAATAACGACGATGACGACGGCGAAGAGACGAACATCGTGTTGGTGCTCGACGGGAAATGGAAGGAGGTGGTGCCGACTGGGAAGGAGAAGGAAGGAGGCGTCGCCGTTGGTGGGAAGAGTGTGGGTGGCGCCGACGAGGCTGCTGGTGCCGGCGGCGGGGGGGGTGGGGGAGGGAAGACCGCGGCGCCAGCGTGGGGGGGCACCGGCGGCAGAAAGGACAGCGGCGTCATCGGCAAGGGGAGGCACGGGGGGGGCATGGGGGAGGCATCTGGAGGCAGATAGAGACAGATGGCACCATCACGCGCGTGAAGGAGTGTGCGAGTGTGTGTGTATGCGTGTTTGTGCACGTCTGTGTGCATATTAACTTGTGTGTGTGTTGATGTAGGGTACGTTTTGACATGTATATATAAAAAGATTCAAAACTAGTTTCTTTAGAACCGCTTTGCGTTTAGTTTGTTGTCCTTCCTCGCACCTCCAATTAGCAGTTGGCTACGTAAAGTGCAAAATAAGTTCAACATACATACATGTGTCCGTGTGTGTTTTAGTGCACATGTCAGCGTACGTGTGCATTGTGTGTGTATTTACGTGTCTTTCAATCCACTGCTGGATAAACACCCCCCTTCACTGTGTGTCAGTCATGGAAGTTGTTTGACCATACTTGACCACGCTAGCAGGCACAGATTGGTGAAGTACGGGTCCAGGGACAGGTTAAGATATTGAACTCAGTTCGCTGTGTTCATAGCAGATGGTGCTTAACCATTGTGCCACCTCTCCTCCCCATATGTGTATGTCATTAAATGTCTATGAATGTGCATCTATGTCTATGAATGTGCATATATGTCTATGTGAGTATACATGTCTGTGAATGTGCGTCAATGTCTATGTGAGTATACATGTCTGTGTACCATTGCTGGGCTGGTTCATTTTGTCTTGAGCTCCTTCCCTTGTCCCACCACTCCTGCCCCTTCAGACAAAGTAGAGACAGAAACACACACTAAGACGCAAAGCCCCACAAGGCCTTATAAACCTTAGGGGCAGTGCTGTTAAGCGAGCACCTCTTAAGACAGGGACATAGCAGGAGAGTTTTAATGTGCCCGGCTGGCTTTGTCTAACCAATTATGATGTTAAATTCATTGCACTAGGTACTCGTGTGAGGGCAGGCCCAGGACTGGTTCTTAGATCATTCACCACTGATGTTAGCCGTGGCCAGCAATCAAACTCAGGCCCCATAGCGCAAGTGTGCTCACCACTGCACCACTGCTCACTTGGCCCGACTCGGCACACACACACACACACCTACACAAGTACAGAAAGACACACACATACATACCCACAGACTTGTACAAAGACGCCCCCCAATATAGCTTTTACCAGACTGTAAGAGCAAGTGCTGTTAGCGAGCACCTATGAAGGCTGGCATGGCAGATGAGGGGGTGGGTGGCCAGCACCGCGCCCAGCCTCAGCAAAGGTAAACAGACAGCAATAACAACAACCGCCATTCGCAATCAAGTGGCAGCGACGTTACTAAAACGCAAGCGAAATGCACTTTGTGCATACAGACACAAAGATCCCCCGTATAGCCTTTAACACACTGTTGGGACAGATGCTGTTAGCGAGCACCTACGAAGACCGGCACAGCACACAAACTCACAGAGGTGCACACTCGCACATGGCCTCACTCGGTCACCTGGGTGCGTCGCTCCCCTGCCCGGCCTCGGGAGTCATCGTGGGGCCCCTGCAGGGGCTGCCCCCCTGGGAAGGGCCCTTGCCGCCTCCGGTTCCTCCCCCGGCGACCCCACCCTCCTCCCCTGCTCCACTGTGCCCCGGAGAATTTCGCATAGACGTCTCGGGAGAGGAGATTGCCGTTATTTCTAGCGGCTGGTTAATGGTGCTCACCTACGGGACACAGAGAAAGAGAAGGAGACACTGAAAGGGAGGGAGACATTGGGAGGGAGACATTGAGAGGGAGGGAATGAGGAAGACACTGGGAGTGAGGGAATGAGGGAGACACTGAGAAGGAGACCCTGAGGAGAAGAGATGGGGAGAAATACACTGGGAGACACTGAGAAGGCAGGAGGGAGGGACAGAGAGAAGACGACACTGGGTAGGAGATACTGGCATAGAGGGAGACACTCAGAGGAAGGGTGGGGGACACTCACCATAGCGGTGATGTTGAGTGGGGACCCTGACGCTTGGCATCGTATCCCCCTCACCCCTCCCAGCGACTTCTTCTTCGGCAAAGAGGGCAATGGAGACGACGAGGACGAAGAGGAGGAAGAGGAGGAAAGTGACGATGATGAGGACGATGATGACGAGGATGATGAAGACGAGGAGGCGAGGGAGCCGCCTTGGCCCCTGCGTTTGCGACCTCGTCGCCGCCCATTGGGGTCGGCCAAGGGGTCACAGCCGCCCTGCTGGGGCAGCACGGAATTCTGGGAGAGGTGCAGGGAATTGTGGGAGAGGTGTGCTGCATTATGGGAGAAGTGCAGGGAGTTGTGGGAGAGGAGCGGTGCGCCGTTGAGCGGCGGAGGGGAGAGGTTGGCGGGCAGGAGCAGCGGGGGGCCCCCCTCCAGCGGAGATGGGGAGAAGGTGGGGGCGCCTCCTCCTCCAGGAGGGCCTTGGGTGGGGGCCACCGGCTGGCAGGGAAGAGGGGGAGCACATGGCCCATCTTGGCTGGAGATGGAGGAAAGTGGCAGACCTGCAGTGCAAAAAAAACAGAGATAAATACCCCCTGAATAGCCTTGTAGACTGTTGGGGAAAAGTGCTGTTAGTGAGCACCTATGAAGGCTGGCATGGTGCTTGAGTGAGTGCTTGAGTGAGTGCTTCAGCGAGTGCTTGAGTGAGTGCTTGAGTGAGTGCTTGAGCGCCACAGTGGCGAGACATGAACTACCTAGCCAGGTATATAGGAGGACATGGGTTTGATCCCGACCTTGATGCCTGTATATTTGGAGTTTGCATGTTTTCCCCGTGGTCGCATGGAATTTCTCCAGGTCCTCCTGTTTTCCCTCTACATTTACAAACATGCAATTCGACTATTTGGCTGTGATAAATCTCCATATGATAAGCCCCTTCGTTGAGCTATCATGTGGCCAGGGCGCTTAGGAAAAAGAGCTATATAGCTCAGTGAGCCTTACCTGGTAAAATAAAGCATCATAATAGTTGTTATATGTATGGACATCACTAATCGTGGCCACCTCTATATCCCAGGTGCTCATATTTACTCATTTGAGGTCGAGTTAATCTACGTAAGGCCATCAGGACTAGTTCAGGGAACCCTTGTCACTGATCCGTCACTGATCTAAGCAGTGGCCGGGAATTGTCGTGTTCGGAGCGCTGTGTGGAAAGCACTGCGCCACCGCTCCACCTATTGTACACGTGCACGCACACATGTACACGTGCACGCACACATGTACACGTGCACAAACACATGTACACGTGCACACACACATGTACACGTGCACACACAACAGCCGCCCTTCTCCACTGAGTGGTGGCAAAGCACAACTCCGTCCGTGCCAAGCAAGGTGCGTGCTTGCTCACACAAGATCCCCCGTATAGCCTTAACAGACTGTTGCAGCAAGTGCTGTTAGCAAGCACCTATGAAGGCCGGAACGGCACACGAGGGGGTGGGTGGCCAACACCACGCCCGGTCGCCTTGTTCTCCCCAATGGTGATGTTTACACGCCGCACCAGGTACTCATTTGAGGCCGAGTCGACCTAGGGGAGGCCCAGGACCGGTTCAGATAATCGTCACTGGTGTTGGCTGTGAGCGGAAATAGAACCCGGGTCACTGGGTTCATAGTGCGACATGCTAACCGCTACACTACCGCCCACACACATGCACACAGACACTCGCGCGCACACACGTACCTGAAGCGAGTCCCCTCGGCGGGCAGGCAAGGGGTGTCCTGGTAGGGCTGTCCCCCAGACCCCTCCACCCCCCTTCGGCAGGGGTCCTCCTCTGTGGCAGGGGAGGAGAGACACAAGGCACAAGTCTCCATGAGCTCAGATCCCCTCAGATCCCTCACCCCGTCGCAGGTTCCTCACCCGTCTCATGTGCCCACCCCCTCCCAGATCCCCCTGCCAGCCGTCACACCCTAACCCGGTCCCTCATCTCTTACCCCCTCGGCTTTTGGGTTCCTCACCCCCTCTCATCCCTCCTAAGGTAACCCTCCTCAGCCTTCACCCCTTTTTCAGGTTCCCTCATCGTTACCCGGCTCCCTCGCACGTCCCTGCCGAGGTCCCCGTTTACTAGCGTCACAATCCTCTCGATTCCTCTACCCTGGCCGGCCCACGTGATCTCTCAGGTCCCTCACCCCTCCCGCCCCACCCCCTCTAGAGCGCTGCACTCCATCCCAGCTCCCCCCCACCTGGTTGCCGTGTGTGGGGGAGAGCTGGGGGCTGACTGTGGAGTTGCCGGTGGAGGAGGAGGCGAGGGGGGGGCGGCGCGCGCGGAGGAACGCACAGCGCACCGCCTCCGGGTCGTCCTGCTGCAGAATGCGCAGCAGTGAGCGTGAGGCGCAGCAGGCGGGAGCGTGCGTGCGGAGCAACGGTACAAGCGTTTTACAGTGCGCAGCAGAGAGGAGGAGTGCGAGCGTCTAGCAGATATGTATGTAAGTGTACGTACGCATCTTGAACTTCTTTCGCACCGTACAAAGCCCAACCGTGCTAATCGGAGGTGGGGGGGGAGGACAAAAAACTAAACACCAAACGCAGTTCAAGAAATGAGATTTAAAAGAGCGTAGCTCTCCAGTGGCTTCCCTAACATCAGAAGGAAGAGCTGCCCAGATGCTGCAGAAGCGCAGCTGAAAGCGAGCGATGCAGTGACCATCTTTGTTCGCCGGTTAGCCAAAAGCCGCTGAGAGGATGACCGGAGTTTGCGTGATGGTTATGCTCTTTGACAAGCTCAGCAAGGTAAAATTGCGTGTGTTCGTGAAGTAGCAATGAGAAGGAGTGAGCAGCAGTGAGCACAGGTGTGCGTGATCGTGCAGCGGAGAGGGGCGGATGGGTGGGGGGGGGCAGCGGACCGCGATGTGCTCCTCACCATGGTGTTAGGGGGGGCGGGTGACAGCACGCTCGCCAGCGGGATGCTCACGGGCAGTTTGGGGGGCGGCTGCCCCCCACCAGCGGGTGCCTTCGAGGGCAGCACAGTGCTGAGGGGGATGCGCACGGGGAGGCTCCTGATGGCGTCAGCATTGCGGGGAGGGGCGGCGGTGACGGTGGGGCACTGGCAGCATGGAGACAAACACGCATACACGAACACAAGTTAGTTATTGAAATCTAATTCCACTGGGCTTGTGCTTCGGGTAGTAGGGTTGTTGTTACGGACTCGTGTTATGTTTCACGTTATAGGCAGGAGGACGACTAGTGTTAGGAACAAGATTAGTATCAGGGACGGTGTGTTAGGGTTTGGGTTAGCACTAGCATCAGGGGTTAGGCTGGTGCTAGGATCAGCACAAGTGTTCGTGTCAGGGCTATTGCTAGTAGTATTTGTGTCGGATCAGCATGAGTGTTCGTGTCAGGGCTAGTGCTAGTAGTATTTGTGTAGGATCAGCACGAGTGTTCGTATAAGGGCTCGTGGTCATAGTATTTGTGTCGGCTCAGCACGAGTGGTCGTAGTATTTGTGTAGGATCAGCACGAGTGTTTGTGTCAGGGCTAGGGCTAGGGCTAGGGCTAGTGCTAGTAGTATTTGTGTAGGCTAAGCACGAGTGGTCGTGTCAGGGCTAGTGCTAGTAGTATTTGTGTCGGCTCAGCACGAGTGGTCGTAGTATTTGTGTAGGATCAGCACGAGTGTTCGTATAAGGGCTAGTGCTAGTAGTATTTGTGTCGGCTCAGCACGAGTGGTCGTAGTATTTGTGTAGGATCAGCACGAGTGTTTGTGTCAGGGCTAGTGCTAGTAGTATTTGTGTAGGATCAGCACGAGTGGTCGTAGTATTTGTGTCGGCTCAGCACGAGTGTTCGACCAAGTCGGGGCTTTACCTCCTCCTCCATGGAGTTTGTTTCGGCTGCTGGGGGAGGGGAGAGAGGGAAAGGTGGTGGGGGTATACGCGGGGAGTCGACCCCATCGAGGTCATGATCTCCGACTCCATTCTCATGCTGCTCCTCCAACCTAAGGGGATGGGTGACACACACAGTGTAAATGCATAAAAGCACATTCCGGTACCAAGACACAGGCATACACCAGCAGCTGCTATTCACCAATATGGTGCTTATGCCAAAAAAAGTGGAATTTGAGGCCACGTGAAATGTGGAAGGCTCAAAGTCCGGGGACAGACGCAGACCCAGGCATTATGGGTTGACAAAGATGACTGGCAGATGCGCCAGCTGCTCTCTCCACTGTGCCAACTCGCTGTGTATTAGCCACCCAGCGCTTTGCTCGTTGTTGTGAGCGTCAATCCTCAATCTCCCATTGTTGACGGAGGGCAACTGCCTCCAACTGTCTACTCCAAACAACCTGATCTTGACACCACCGATCTCATTCGCCAGCGAAGCCAGTCAGCTCAAAGGCCTCCAGTACCACAACCAACCATATCTTCTCTGACGTAGATTTGAAGCTTTCGTGACTGCAAGGATTTATACTCTTAGATTTTTTTGGTAAAGTCAGGTGGGACCGTCACAGTAAATTTAGCTGTGACGGTCCCACCTGAAGACGGAGACTTGTGTTGCCTCCGAAACGCCGTGATTTAAGTGAGTTATGTTCATTTATTATTATTTTTATTTTTTTGCCTACGTGACTTTACCGAAAAAAACCTAAGAGTACTTCACTGATGTCTTTAACTCACCCTGTGCCTATTTAGCCCCCTCTATCCTACCAAACAGAAGCTGCTTGGGAACATGGCGACTGGGCATGAGCTACATGACCCTTCCAACGCCACCTCGACTACAGGAGGAGCTCTCTGATGGACAATATCTTTAAAGGATTTGTGAGCTCGTCACAAAATATTGTCTGGATAAACGCAGGAACTTAAAGCCGGACAGTCGGAATGCTTCATGTTGCCACAGGTGTTCATGTTGGAAGGTCTACATTTTGCAAGCACAGAGATAAGAGGGCATGATTGTAGCAAAGACCGGCAACATCATGTGGAGCGACAGGGCAGACAACTTTCACCAAGCGTTCAGCAGCCGACAAAAATATGTCACTTGATTGATTCAGCGCGAGACCTCTGCTGCCAAACCAGATTTAAGCCGAACCCCATCTCCCTATCCCGAACCCTATAAATAACGGCTATCCCCATATATTTAACCCTACCCCTGCCCCTGAAGTATTCCCCACACCTCACTTTAACCCGACCCTCGCCCTGGCCGCCAGCCCCGTCCAAACCGCACCCCCCCCCACCTGCTGGGAATGCTCGTGTGCGAGTCGGGGGTCCCATCCTGCGTCAGGTGCCTCCTTAGTGCGAGCTTGGCCGGGGAGAAGCGTGTGTAGTCAGGGGGGGCCGAGGACATGGGGGGTCCTTCCCGGGAACGGGGGGCACACGAGGAAGGCCGCAGTCTCACCACCCTGGAGACACGGAGGCACGGGAATACGTAGACCACAGGGTGAGCAGGTGTGTGGGTGAGTGAATGTGTGGTGCGCGAAAAGTTTGAGTGCATAGTGAACATGCCCAATGCGTGAAAGAGTGGCGAGTACGTGCATTTAGAGTGAGTTTGTAATAATAGTGAGTGTATGATGAATAAGTGGAGAACATTGAGGTGTGCGGCGAGTAGTGTGGGCAGATGGCGAGTAGTGGGTGTGTATGGCGAGTGAATGGCGAGTGACTTTATTGGTGAGCGAACGTGCGACTGTATAAAGTGTGTAGTCAGTTTAGAGCGATTCAGTTTTTTGTGCGTTCTATGTTGTGTAGTGTGCAGTGAGTTTGCAACAAGTGGGCGAGTTTGCGGTGAGTTTGCGGTGACGAGCGGCGAGCAAGCGGCGAGTTTGCGGCAATCGCCGAGCGGGCGGCGAGCGGGGGGGGGGGGGGGTCCCGCTCCTCACCTGCGCGGGTCGTGGTGCCCATTGACGAGCCCCTCGGAAGGCCCACCCTCGTGGCCCCACGTTGGCCCGACCACCTGGGCCCCGTCGCTCTTCCCGTCGGCACCGGTCAGCAGAGTCTTGTGCGGCGAACTCACGGCCTCCGCCCGCCGGCGCTCCAGCTCCAGGATGTTGATCTGAAGATGTCATCAGAGGGCGGCCCCACGGATCCGGACGTACGTGTTAGATGCTCGGAAGGCATGGGAAGCGTTTGTTACTATCAGTCGGTCCTCCTTTAAAGTGGTGGCTGCTCCTTCTGCTTCTGCACAGTAGCAGCACCTTTATAACACAGTGTGCATGTGTGTGTAAAGGTGTCGGCATTGGGAGCGAGCACCTAACAGCGCTTGCCCCAACAGTCCATTCAAGGTATATGGGGATTCTTTATCTGCAAAATGAACCTGGCAATCAAAGTTCGATTTCTGCTCACGGCCTACATCAGTGACAATTATCTGAACCGACTCAGCCTCAAATGTGTACCTGATGTGTAAGCATTACAACTAGGGAGACAATGGCAGCCGGGCATGGTGCTGGCTACCCAGCCCCTCGTAGTCCATGCTGGCCTTCATAGGTGCTCGCTAACAGTACTTGCCCCAATCGTGTGTTATGGCTATACGGGGGATCTTTGTCTTCGTGTGTGTGAATACCTGCAGCTCAGCCACGCTGCGCTGGTTGTGCGCCACCTTCAGCTGCAACGCCATCAGCTCCCGGCTCAGAGTCTCCTCGCTCAGGGATTGAACCTCCAACCCCAACTCCCGGCAATGCGCGGCCAGCTGATGCCACAGATATCACAGGGGACAGCTGATGCTACCGATATCACACACATCTGTGTGTGTGTGTGTGTATGTACGCATATGCAAGGTGAATATCTGAACCGGTCGTGGGGCTATCCTAGGTGGACCCAGCCTTAAATGAATACCTGGTGTGGTGTGTAAACACTAGCACCGGGTTTTGTGCTGCCACACCACACCCTCGTGTGCCGTGTTTGCCAACATTGGTGCTTGCTAACAGCACTTGCTCCAACAGCCTGTCGAGGCTATAGGGAGCTCTTTGTCTTTGTGTGTACATGCAAGTGTAGACAAGTGTGTGTAGGTTGTCACCAGCTGGCAGCAGCGCCGCGTCAGCGTGCTGATGCTGTGCTCCAGCTGCTGGCCCTGCTGCCGCAGAAGGCTCTGCTGCGCCACCCCCTGCCTGTGTGTGGAGGCCAACTCTGACAGACTGGTGCCAGACAAACCCAGCTGCGACATGCACACGCACGCACGCACAAAAACACAGGCACACACAGAACACATTGACAAGCGTATAGCTGTGCAACAATAAAGGAGACCCGCAAATGCACATAAGCGCTCAACATTGCTCGGGGTGGGTGGTATGGCTAGTGATTGGCACAGTTCAGATAGCCAGTGAGGTTGAGATGGGCATCGCTGCTTGGATAGTTGAGATGGGTTGTGCGGTTGAGATCTTTGAGTTGGGCATCGCTGCTTGGATAGTTGAGATGGGCAGTACGGTAGAGATGGGCATCGCTGCTTGGATAGTTGAGATGGTCGGGGCGGTAGAGTTGGGCATCGCTGCTTGGATAGTTGAGATGGTCGGGGCGGTAGAGATGGGCATCGCTGCTTGGATAGTTGAGATGGTTGGGGCGGTAGAGTTGGGCATCGCTGCTTGGATAGTTGAGATGGTCGGGGCGGTAGAGATGGGCATCGCTGCTTGGATAGTTGAGATGGTCGGGGCGGTAGAGATGGGCATCGCTGCTTGGATAGTTGAGATGTTCGGGGCGGTAGAGTTGGGCATTGCTGCTTGGATAGTTGAGATGGTCGGGGCGGTAGAGTTGGGCATCGCTGCTTGGATAGTTGAGATGGTTGGGGCGGTAGAGTTGGGCATCGCTGCTTGGATAGTTGAGATGGTCGGGGCGGTAGAGTTGGGCATCGCTGCTTGGATAGTTGAGATGGTTGGGGCGGTAGAGTTGGGCATCGCTGCTTGGATAGTTGAGATGGTCGGGGCGGTAGAGTTGGGCATCGCTGCTTGGATAGTTGAGATGGTCGGGGCGGTAGAGATGGGCATCGCTGCTTGGATAGTTGAGATGGTCGGGGCGGTAGAGTTGGGCATCGCTGCTTGGATAGTTGAGATGGTTGGGGCGGTAGAGTTGGGCATCGCTGCTTGGATAGTTGAGATGGTTGGGGCGGTTGAGTTGGGCATCGCTGCTTGGATAGTTGAGATGGTTGGGGCGGTAGAGTTGGGCATCGCTGCTTGGATAGTTGAGATGGTCGGGGCGGTAGAGTTGGGCATCGCTGCTTGGATAGTTGAGATGGTAGAGTTGGGCATCGCTGCTTGGATAGTTGAGATGGTCGGGGCGGTAGAGTTGGGCATCGCTGCTTGGATAGTTGAGATGGTCGGGGCGGTAGAGTTGGGCATCGCTGCTTGGATAGTTGAGATGGTTGGGGCGGTTGAGTTGGGCATCGCTGCTTGGATAGTTGAGATGGTTGGGGCGGTAGAGTTGGGCATCGCTGCTTGGATAGTTGAGATGGTCGGGGCGGTAGAGTTGGGCATCGCTGCTTGGATAGTTGAGATGGTTGGGGCGGTAGAGTTGGGCATCGCTGCTTGGATAGTTGAGATGGTCGGGGCGGTAGAGTTGGGCATCGCTGCTTGGATAGTTGAGATGGTCGGGGCGGTAGAGTTGGGCATCGCTGCTTGGATAGTTGAGATGGTTGGGGCGGTTGGTGATCGCAGTGTAAGTGGTTCCACACTGTTCATTCCCTCCCAGACACTTCTGCTCTCATCCCGTTTAATTTATTTTTCCCGATCATTGAGTGAGATTGTGTGTTAGGGTATCTGTGTTATAGTGTACGAGGATTAGAGGGCATATCAGTGAGTATTAGTGTGCTGCTGCTTTTGTGAGTGTATTATTGTATGACCTGGAAAACTCGTGTGTGAGGGAGTACAAGTGCGTGTTAGTGTGTTCGTGTATTGGTGAGTGTCGTCGTTGTTGTTGGAGAGTGGGCGAGGACCTGAGAACAGCGCTGCCTCAGCGCCGTCAGGAGCTCCGCTTCCTGGTTCTGGCACTGATCCTGCAGCGCCTGCAGACAGCGGCCGAGACGGGCGCTACGAGCCTACACACGAGGATGCAGGGACATCAGGAGACACGGAGTGAGACCATGAGGCACGGGGACACGGAGAAAGATGAATACACAGGGACACACAATGAGACACACGGGAACACAGAGATACAGGGAGAGGACACATGGAAACGCAAGGACATGGGGAGATGACACATGGAAACGCAAGGACATGGGGAGATATGGAGACACCGTGAGACATGGGAAAACGGAGATATATGGAGACATGGGGACACTGGGACAAATGAGGATAAGGAGATACAGGAAAATAGAAACACTCGGGCACAAGGGGATACAACAACACGGGCACCCATAAACACGGGGAGACACATGGCCGTGGAGACATAGGGAAGCAGGGACATGGGAAAACGAGACACAGGGACACAGGAGAGGCATGAGGAGGTATGTGGATATCAATTCACAGCAACACAGACATGGGGGCATGGCACACAGAAACCCAGGACAAAGGGACACGGAGACACGCGGGGTGACATGGAAAGACACAGAGACACGAGGACACAAAGAGCACACCGAGGGTGCATGTGAGTGTACAACTGAGGATAAATGTGTGTGCTGGTGTGTATACAGTACAGGTGAGTATGTGCAGGTGTATGTGTTGGTGAGTGTATATGTGAGTGTACAGGTGGTTGAATGTAATGGCGAGTAAACAGGTGAGTATGTACTGGTGAGTATCCGCGTGAGTGAGTATCAAGGTGAGGGTGCATACAAGTGAGAGTTTAGGTGAATGTGCGGTTGAATGTCCAGGTGAGTGTATAGGTGATTGTCCAAGTGAGTGTCTGGGTGTGTGCATAAGGTAAGATGTCAGGTGAGTGGCCAGGTGTGTAGGTGTGTGCAGGTGAGTGGGATCACCTCCTCCTGCTGCAGCTGCTGCTGTAGACTGGAGCGGTATTGAGGCGTGCGCATGTGAGACATTAACTGCATGTACTGCAGCCTAAATGAGTCTGTACACACACACATATATACACACACACATGTACATGTACAAACAAGCCTCTGACCAAATAACCTGGAATGTACCCATATCTCAATAGATCTAGGAAGCCAAGCAGATTTGAACCTGGACAGTGCCTGAAACAGTGACCACCATGCACACACAGGTTGTTAGAGGGTTGGGGCTGCATGTGTGGCAGCAGAGAACAGTACAGAAAAATCCACTGTAATACTGTACTTATATGCAACCACATCTATGCCCTTCACCAACCCGAACCGGTGTGGTTAAGTGTGATCAAATAACTCGCACGACCCACACACTGGGTGCGGAGGTCTCCATCCAGCAGTGAATTGGTGAAGCGCTGTACATGTACAAAGACAAAAGACAAAAATCACCCGTATAGCCTGAACAGACTGTTGGGGAAAGTGCTGTTAGTAAGCACCTATTGAGACCGCAACAGCACACAAGGGGTAGGTGGCCAGCACCAACCTCAGCTGCCTTTGTCTCCCGAGTGCTGATGCTTACACACCGCACCTTGTACACACACACACGCGCGTCCATACATTAAAAACCTGCTGCTGAGCATGAACAGGAGGAGCCACCGAAGGCATCGCAGTTTTTCTCAACATGCCGAGCTGCGTTTCAACACGGCCTGTACGGTCTTCATCGGGAGGGGGGGGGGGGGGGGGGGAGTTCTTAGGTTTCGCCCCAACAGATTGACCATTTTAAAGGTATCAGTGGCCAATCGTAGAAAGCCACAAGTGCCATGTGACCAGTCGCATTTTTCCAGTCATATGACAGTGGCCAATCAGACACGAACCCAGCGCTGGCTACACCAGCATGTAAAAAAAGAACACTTGGGATGAAGTTTAACACGTAGGCTTTCGCAACCAATATCATCCATAAGAGGTTTTTTGGGTGAGATCGCATAAATATATGAATGTGTCGTTAAAACCCGCCACCACCCGACACAGCCAACTAGTAAGGGTTGTCACGTAAACAGAACATGGCAATTCGTCACTAGTACAGCACACCGGTGTGTTGGAGAGCCAAGCCACAACATTTACAATCTGGCAACAGCCAGATTTGTGGAGAAGTCCACCTGTTTCGTTCCTTATATATAGAGGCGTAGATGTGGTGAGCACGCTTCTGCGCTCTTGTGCCACGTGGGGGGGGGTGAATATAAAACAAGCAGTCATCAATTATGCATCTCTGTTCACACTAATAACGTTTTTTTTAGACATTTTTAAAAAAATGGTTTAGAGTGTCCAAAAGCACTTCATTTGAGAGATGGAGTTTTGAAATCCGCTTGTGTGCAGGCACCAAGTGGATTGTTGCATTGCAGGATCGTGTGAGGTAGCGGAGGCTTGGGGAGGCCTTTTGTTCAGCAGTGGATTGACCAATGGCTGATGATGATGATTTTGATTTCAGTTGCGTCGGCACGAACTTTATCACACTCACAAGCACGTGCATAGCGTGTCTTACCCATGAGTCTGTACAATGCAGGAGGTGTAGAGGCCATGAGACCAGGAGAAGCACCCAGTCCAGGAAAGGCTTGGGCTAGGCCCCGATAGGGGCTACCTGGGGGGCTCCGGACGTCTACACACACATGAACACGTGTATTGTCGATAAAAGCCACAGACACAGCCAGAGACACTCATACATATACAAAATGTATTAACATTTATATGCACACATGCATGTCTGTATGCCATGATTAAACTTGTAAATGTATATAGGTGTGCACAGACGTTTGTATACATGGGCGGTCTTCATATAAATGGTATGCACACATGTACACACAAAAAGATCAATATCCCTTGTATAGCCTACACAAGCTGGTGGGGCAAGTGTTGTTAGTGAGCACCTATGAAGGCTGGCACAGCACACACGGGGGTGTGTGGCCAACACCACGATGATGATTACATACCACTCAGTTAAGGATGATTTGACCTCAGGGGAGGTCCAGGACCAGTTAATATATTCACCACTGATGTTGGCCGTGAGCGGAAATCTAACTCGGGTAGCCAAAATCGTTGCACAGTGTGCTAACTTGCATACACAACCAAGACAAATATCCCCTTAACCTTACCGGGCTGTTGGGGCAAGTGCTGTTAGCGAGAACCTACGAAGGCCGGCATGGCACAGGAGGTGGTGGTGCAGTGAGCGCCATGCCTTACCCGCATGCACACGCGCACACGCATCTCTCGGCCACATTTCTAAGCGCACACACGTCGACACGCACGTGGGTTACACACCTGTGCCCTGCACGTGCGTGAGCGTCTGCGCATGCAGCAGCTCCAGCGCCGCGTCCGCAGCCGCCGCTCCACCCCCGCCGCCGCTCCCACCCCTCCGAGCAAACCTCTCCACGCCACCGCCCGCCCCCACAGGGCTGCCCGCAGCGGCACGGGGCTCCACGCCCTTCCTGGGCCTCCCCCTCCTCTTGAGGCACAGGCGCCGCCCCCGCATGCGGCGCAAGCGCGGAACTTTGCCGTTGACGCCGGGGCCCAACGCAGGGCCCTTCCCGGACTCCGCCGTTGCTGCTCTTGCTGCTGCCGCCGATGGAGGTGGTGCTGGTGGAGATGGTGTCCCAGTGGCCGGGCGTGCCGCCTTCTCTTCTCGCTGCTCTATCCGTGGCGCCGACTCCTGTGCAGGCTGTGGGAGGGGGTGGGGGGGGGGGGGTGGGGGGGGGAGGTAAAGGGAGAAAGTGGGGGAGGGGAGAAAGGAGGTGGTTACAGAACTGCCATTGCTGGGCTTCCATAAGGTGAGAGTGGACGGAAGTCAAGGTGTTGCAGTCACAGCTCCCGGTGAGGTCAGGTGCATTGATCAGTGTGGGCAAGATGTGAGATAAGAGGTCTGGATATAAGGTCAAAGATCAGGTGTATGAATTTACAAGTCACAGTGAGCTTGTAAATAAAGAGGTCAGGGTAATGTCAGGATGGAAGTTCAGAGGATCAATGCGGTTAAGATACGAGGTCAGATGTCAGGGTAAAGTCAGAGGTAAGGGGTATGTCAGAAAACTAAGTGAAAAGTCACAATCAGATAACGTTAAAATGTGAAGCTGACGTTAGGTTAAAAGATCGGAGGACGGAAAACGGGGCAAGCTGTGACGTGGCGAGGTCACAATGAAGGGTGCAAGGTCATGGCCATGCAGGAACAGCTCAGCAGATTAATTAATGACTGCTCCACACGAGTGTTGGTAACGAGCACGCGGCCATCGCACTAATCAAGTCGATCATTACTGCGGTGAACAGGAAGGGGGTTTGGGTTGGGGGTGCCTGAGACCTATGACTCTTCTTCCCCCACTAAGGGTCGAAGGTCAGGTATTAGCAGTCCATGCAGGGATTGGCGATGATTCGAGGAGGCAGAAATTGGTTAAGGGTAAGGGTGAAGGGAGGGGCGAGGGTCGGCATTGCAACACTAACGCCATCTCAGCCTTAACGGATGCTCGTAAACACCGCACGCCACAACTTTAGGCCTCGCGCCGAGGGGAGCGACGGTTTCAAATGTATGGCTGCACTGCACGAGGTGCGGCGAGGTCCATTAGGGAGAGAGGGAGGGGTGAGGTTAGCGGCTGAGGGGAGGCGCCACCCACCTGCAGGGGGGTCCATCCCTCGGGGGGACAGACCCCAGGGTCACCGCACTGCCCGCACGAGCACGCAAACACGCGGTTACACTCGCGTACATGTACGTACAAAACACATGGACACGTAAACACACACACACACAAATATAGCAACTTAGCACAGAGGTTTTCGCAGCCAAGAATATTATTTACAATTGCATTTTGGATTAGGCCAATTTTGTCTCGTGAGAACCTCCCACTGGAATAAATTGCCAGAATCAGAATCGTTATTTATCCTGGAAGAATCCGATGAGCGACGGGGGTCTTTTTCACGGATGTCCAGTAGAGTTTAACACGTAGGCTTTCGCGACCAATATCATCCATAATACAGGTTGTTTTTGGGTTAGATCGTGTAAATAATTTTATAATAAATACATTTTGTTTACACAATCTAACCAAAAAAACAGTATAAGTGTTTAACATGGAAAACCATTATTCCTTCAGCCTTCCGATAACTTAAAGGACAATTCTCATGACGAAATGTATCTAATTGTATCCAATCGAGTCTAATCGATACATCCGATTGTGAAAATTGTTCTTAAACGAACCCAGTGAGACAAAACAATAAGATTCGGAATCAAAATAATAAAACAGAAGCAATGATGAACAGGATGAAGGGCTTGTCGAAAACCAATTGATGTGATCGTGAAAAGCAGCGCACAGGCGTGGTAAGAGAAATGCGTTCAAACAATGCATGCCGCCAGACACTACGGTTAGAAAAACACGGAATCACGGCAAGAAAAGGGAAACGAAAGATGAAAAACGTGCAATCAAGCATGGTGCAACTGAAATGAGTTTGTGGATCAGGCAACGAAGGTAAATCATACCAACGTAAGGAAAGCCAAGTGGGCTTGGTGAGGGGAACATATTGCGAGAAAGGATGATGGCTAGCGGATGAGACTGGTGATGGAATGGCAACCAAAGGATAGAAAACAGTACAAGAGGACATGACAGAGGGGTGTGGGATGGTGATGGCATGGGGAAGCCATCATCCAACAGTGGGTAGAGAATGACTGATGTTGAAAATGACACACATACAGATGTATTGGCCATGTATATTTAATTGTAAAAAAATATATTACGGAAAAACACATACTGGACAACATATATGTGTAGTGACATAAGAGGGGAGGGGCTGCTGGGGGCTCCCCTCTTATGTCACTACATATGCACCGTGGAGGGGTAAGTGGGTGAATGAACAAGTGACCGAGTGAGTGGGTGAACGAGGAGTGGGCGGGTGAGCTAATCAGTGGGCGATTGGAAGAGTCAATGACTATTGGACTATTATTCAGGAGGGTCTTGCATTGTGTTTTTTATATGTTTTAGCCAAGTAATGAGTGATTATACATGTGGCAGGAAATCGGAGCTCCCAGAGAAAGCCCACGCGTGCGAGGGGGCAACACTTTCCCCATACATATGGAAAGAGATGCCGAATATTCTACTTGCTGTACTGCCTTCTGCTGGCGAGGCAGGGCATGGCACCTTCAAGTAAGCAGATGAGTAAGTTCAAGTTCATAAAGTTCAAGTTCATGTATTAGGTGTAGCTGTGAGCCATTCGGCTCTTGAATCGGGTGCAACCGCAACAAACAAAAAACAAAAACATGAACAGAAAAACATCTTAAAGCGAATATGTGACTGAGTGCAAACAGAAAATACAAGAAAAGACAGCAAAATATTGCAGAAAAAACACCGTACACCAACACTGTGTGCAAGGGGTGGGGTGAGTGATTGAGTGAGTGAGAGCGAGCGAGCGGGCGGTGGCGAGGAGTGAGCGAGTGAGTTCACCTTGCAGGGGCTATTGGAGCTCCCCTTGTTCTCTTTGTCTTTCTGCTGCCGGCGACGCACCGCCTCCTGCTCCTCCTGCACTCAGGAGACGCAGAGAAATGAGTCAAAACGGGCGCGCAGACTTCATAACAGAGACACATGTTATTATTATTATGCAGGAAAGACCAAGTCTCGGGACTTTTTCAGGAGGATGGTGCCAAGTTTTCGGAGTAGGGGATGAAGATTGCTCTTTACAATTATATATTGGTACATGGGGACATAAAAATCTGGGACATGGTGACGTGGAGACATGAATGCATTAGGACACGGAGACATGAAGACAGGGACAATAAAACATTTGAATACTGGGAAACAAGCACATGGATGACACGGAAAATGAGACAGGGACACCGTGACACGGTACACAAGTACATGGAGACATGGTGATAAGAAAACAGAGACATGGATAATGAGACGTGAGGACATGCTAGCCCCATCTGGTTGAGGGTGTCAATGACGAGAGGTAATCAATCTCAATGGACCGTTTCCTTTTTGAGAACAGGTCTTCCCCTTTTTTCTGGCAACAAACAGCTGTGTTAAGATATTAGAACACCAAACTTAAACCCTTTTACAAGAAATCATGTCTGCATTAACCACAATACTTGTGGTCAAAATGCAAACAAAAACACTCTGATAATAAATGCATTCTTTGAAACTGATTGGTCCACACCAGAGACAGCTTTTTTTTTTTTTGCCTAGTCTCAAAACGGTGTTAAACCAGAGGACGCCAAAAGGCGTACAGCACAAAGACAAGCATTATCAGAGTAATGAGAGCTCGGGGTGAACAACTACATAATGGGACCTCCTTCGCCAGCACCAAAATATGAGAATAGGTTTTCCCTTTTTTCTGGCAACAAACAGTATTTATAGATAACCTTTATTTCCCCTATAAATACTGGATCTCAGTGGGGAACCTCAAGTGTTAAATGAAGGATGTCAATCACAATAAATGTCAATGGTGTCCCGCCTGGCTAATTTTAGGAAGTCAATGTACCGATGAACCTCGATGGGCTCTCGCGTGGCTAAATAATTGACGCCAATGCCAAGAGGCGGTGAATCTCAATGGGTTCTCCCTCAGCTCAATCAGAGTCGAGGTGACATCAGTGTGACCACTCACCCTGATTTTGGGGTTCTTGAGGCTCGAGAAGTAATTCTCCAACTAAAGAAAACACAGCAAGGTCAGCAGTGTCAGTGGTGGTGATGGGCGGTGGTGATGCTATTGATATGGGAGTGATACGGTCGTGATGCTGATGATGATTATATGTGATGATGGTGGTGGTGGAGGAGTTTATGATATCATGGTGGTGATGACACTATGATGCTGGTGGTCATGGAGGTTAAGGTGTAACGTTGTCTCAAACAGTCTGGTTGAAAGAGTGTAGGGGTGTGTACCGTGTGTTATATGTGTAAATGTGCATCAATACGTGTGTTGTGTGTATATTGGTAGTGTATTGAGGGGAGTGGTCATGAGGTAGTTAGCCAATTGCGCTATGAACCCTGCAACTTGAGTTTGTTTCCCGTTCACGGCTAACATCAGTGGTTAACATCAGTATGAGCCTCCCCTAGGTCGCCTCAGCCTGAAATGACTACCTAGTGCAGTGTTTAAACACTAGCAGTGGGAAGACCAAGGCGGGTGGACGTAGTTCTGGCCACACCACCCCCTCATGCACCGTGTCGGCTTTCATAGATGCTCACGAATAGCACTTCCCCCAACAATCTGTTCAAGGCATTGTGGGGGACCTTGGTCTTTGTGTGCATGTGTGTCTCACGATGGTACGGTCGATGGTGTGTAGGTAGTACGACACAGGCTTTCCCGTCCACGACACGGAGCCCTTGAGTGGAGACAGCTCCACCACCCGCATTATCGTGCCTATGTCTGCACACAGGGACACACGGGTGAGACACAAGGCAAGACACGCGGGGAGACATGGGGACACGCGGAGAAATTGTGAGACACAGGGACACACATGAGGAGACATAGGGACACATGAGTACATACACACAAAGACACACAGGGTCACATGCAGACACAGACACACAGGAACACACAGGGATACATGGGGTCGCATGGAATCAGAGACACACTGGGGCATGGGGACACATGGAGACAGAAATTATATCTAAATGGGGACGCATATAAATATACAAAACACACAAGCACAAATGGGCATAGGGAAACACATAAAGAAACATGTGAACATGGAGAAAATGGGACAAATTAATACACAAAGACAAAAACGCAGATGCATGAATACACACACATAAACCCAATGGCACACACATCAACACACTGACACACACCTGCCCATGTGAAACACAGAATCAGAATCTTTATTTATACTGGAGGAATACAATGAGCTATGAAGCTCTTTTTTACAAATATCCAGTAGGGGCAGGTCAGCAAGTTACAACAACAAACAATACACTTTGAGCAGCCCAGGACACACAACTTAAGTGTGGCTACAAGAGAAGAGCCATCGTGATCGCTGTGCAAGTGATGATGTCGGTTTCTTACCACTCAGGTTCCTGCTATTTATTCTGAAGATGAGAGGAGCAAAGGGCTTAGATGACACAATCTTCCCTCCTGGCAACGCACACATAAAACACACATGCAGGAGCAGCGACATCGATGGTGAGATGATCGTCACCAGCAGTTACACGAACAAATCGTAACTTCTTCATCGTCAGCAGCGGTAACCATCATCATAGTAACCGCAAAATCATTGGTGACATCGGTAGTAGCAGCACCGGCAGCATAATCACAGTCAGCAGCAAGGACATCACTTCTATCATCACAGTCATTGCCAGCAGCATCAGTAGCAACATCGTTAGACACAGCAACAACTTCACCATCGCCGCCACAATGGGGTGTATGTATGGCTCAGTGTCTACTATGTAAAGTGCAGGGTCTGTAGTGTGACGGTGGAGGATGCGATGGTTGTTGTGCTTATTGCTGTGGTCGTGGTTTCTAGTGCCACTACTCACGCTCCTTCATGTTGGCGAAGCGTTCCTTCAGCTGATGGTCGACCTCTGGTCCAAACGCGAAGTTATTGACGAACACCACGCTGCAAACAGGACACACGTCACAGTCAAGGGGAGTGTTTATTTCTTTTGTTTTTACACAACTGCTGAGGACAGTACATGTGTGTGTGTGCCCATGGGGAGCCATAGCGTAGCGGTTAGCATGGTGCGCGAAGAGCCCAGAAACCCAAGCTCGATTTGCACTCACGGCCAACATCGGTGACGAATATCTGAAACGGTCTTTGGAACTTCCGTCGGACAACTCATTGGTGTGAAGTGTAACTATAGACACGCAGGAGACAAAGGCGGCCAGGCGTGGTGCTAGTCACCCACGTCCTCGCGTGCCGTGCCGGTCTTCATAAGTGCTCCATTACAGCACTTGCCCCAAAAGTATTTTAAAGCTATTTGGGGGCTCTTAGTTGTTTGTGCACGCGCGTCTAAACATGTGTGTATGTTAGCACCTGGTGGTGGCGATCCTGTCCAACCACTCATCAGATAGAAAGTCTCCTTTCTCCAGCTGCAAACAAATAGCAACACCATCATAAGCAATGTTAGTCTTCTCGTAATCACTATCAACACAATCAACATCACCCACATAATAATCATCATCAAAATCATTACTATCAACAAAGATGACATGAACATCATTAACACTCTCTGCCGTTAAGTTTATTTAAATATCCATACCATAAAAATAAACATCAACAATACAATTACCACGAGCAACACCAACAAAGCCAAAAACACCAATGTTATTACCACAACCAAACAACTGTTGGTGTAGTGCGTGGGATGTGTGCTGCATGCACTGTGGGTGTGTAATGTGTGTCGCGTGTGGTGAGCGAATGGAAAATGTCGTGGTAATTCGTGAGTATCTTTACCGTGTAGTCTCCGTGCTTCTTGCCGTACCACCGCATCCACTTCTTAAACTCTACATGCATAGACTAGAACCGACAACATCACCATCATCACATCACCATCATCATTAGCTCCTTACCTTGTTTCCATGTCTCCTCCATGCTTCCTTGTGTCTGTGCGTCCCCATTTTGCTCATCACCTCCCCGTGTCTCCCAATGCCTCTTACGTCTCCCCATGTCTTTCCATGTCTACGTACCTCCTCCATGTCTCCGTGTCTTCCATACCCCCCTGTATTTCCCCATGTCTCTGCGTGTCCCTGTGCCTCACCTCTGCGTATCGAGCTGGGATTTCTGCCTTCTCCACACCGTAGCAATGCTTACAGGGAGTGGCGGCAGCCACCTGTAGCACCACCTGACCTACACCTATAGGACACGTGGGGAGACGCAGGGACATGAGGAGAGACGGGATTTGTAAACGGTGGCACGGGGAGAGGGGAAGGCATGGTGAAGTCACAGGGACATACCGGGATTCACGGGGATACAGGGAAAACGGCAGATGTAATCAGGTATGGGGAAACAGAGAGAAAAAGGAATGCCACAGGCACACATGAGGAAACAGGGAGTAATGAAGAGAAATTAAGACAAAGGAATGCATGAAAAAACGGAGGCATGATGAGATATGAGGATACATGATAGGAGCACACGAGAAAAAAACACAGAGACACATCGGAGGCTTGTTGAGACACAGATTTACTGTTTACATGGTCACATGTAAACAGAAACAAGAAGATACAGAAAGACAACGAGAGACACATAAATACCCGAGCACACGTGAGGAGACACAGGGACACATTACAACGCGGAGTGGCGACCCAAAGTCGGATCGCACACCGATCCACTCACCGCTGCCCAGGTCGACGAAGGTGTCGTCCTCGGTCATCTGCACCTCGTCGATCATCTGAGCGACAAGGTCGAAAGAGGTCTCCCCGTACACCTCGGGCGAGAAGGGCTCGTAGTTGTTGAGCTTGTCGGGGTCGGTCACCGAGTGGTTGTACACCTGCTGCAGGATGTGGCGCAGAAGCCCCGTGCACGGCCGCGTCTGCATCCGCATGGGTCTTGCGGTGCCCGCCCACTGTTGGGGGGGGGGGGGGGAGACGTGGTGAGGAGGGGAGAAATTAAGGGAGATATGAGGAGGAGAGGGGCAGAGGAGAGGGGCAGACGTGGGTAGGAAAGGAGAGACTTGGAAACACAGTGAGAGGGGAGACAAAGCGGTGAGTGGGAGATACGGTAAGATACAGGAAGGAGAGAGGAATCATGGGAGGAGATGGGAGGCACGTGGTGAAGGGAGACATGGGTGGAAAAAAGGGATACAAGAAAAAGGGGAGAGACACAGAAAGGGGATGGAAGACATGGGAAGGAGACAGGAGGTATGAGGAGATAAGATGAACACAAGAAAACAGACACAGCTCATTATGGAGTGGTTTGTGCCATTAGTGCTCGTTTAGATGTGAGTGGGCAAGGCTCTCACCAGCTGATGGATGCTGTCGATTGCCCGATTGTATTTATCGCACAGCTTCTGCATACTCTCAAAACTACATAAACATCAACACCATCAGAAACAATGTTAGCATCTTCTTGGTTCTTTCGGTAAAGTCACGTAGAAGGGAAGTAATAAAATAATAAAAATAAAACATAATTTATTATTTTATTACTTCCCTTCTACGTGACTTTACCGAAAGAACCAAGAAGATGAATCCCTGCAGTCACGAAAGCTTTAAATCGAAAAATGTTAGCATCAATACCAACACCACGATCATCACAACTAATTACATACATCAACATTACCATCATCAAAACGATACTCATAATATCAACACCATCAACATATACATAAATATTTGTACTTGAATTGTAAATGTTGTGGATTTATTACTCTCCAACACACTGGTGTCCTGATATAGTACCGAATTGGCATGTTTTGCTTACATGACAAACCTTACTAACTAGCCTTTTGACCGTCTAAGGATGGATGTATTGCAGTAAATCTGAAACTTGCAAGCAAAAAGCAGTCCGCGTCGTGATATTAATTGCATTAATGCGTGTGCAATTTGTAAGGGCGCGGTGACATAGACCTATTTTATTTTAAGGTTATAATTCCTTGTTCATCATGACGTCCTTTTTACTTTGATGTCTCAATATCGTTACGGAGCTCGCGTGACGCGAGGGAGGAAGAGGCACCTCGGCCCCCCCATGTGGAGTGACGCTAGCCGCTAATTATTATTAATGGGGGGGGGGTGTCCATTTGGAGGACGTCACCTTATAACGATTATTGAGGGGGCTGTTCGATGTAGAGTGACGTCACGAGCGTTAAGGACAGACATTCCTGGGTTATTATAATAAGTATTGGCTGTGTCGGGTGGTGGCGGGTTTAACGACACAACAATTATATTGACGCGATCGCACCCAAAAAGCCTCTATTATGGATACATAAACATCATCATTAACATTAAGACCACCACCAACACCAGTGTTGGCATTAAGGAAGGTGTGTGAGTGTCAGGGCTAGAGTGAGTGTTAGTATACTTCTTTTTACAGTTACTGAGCACAGACCATGACCGAGCCTCAAAACGTAAAGCGACCAACAACAAAACTGTTAAAGTTGTCCATAATACAGGTATTTTTTTTGGGTGAGATCGCGTAAATATAAATGTGTCGTTAAACCCGCCACCACCCGACACAGTCATTCAGTAATGTTTGTCACGTAAACAGAACATGCCAATTCGTTACTAGTACAGCATACCGCTGTTGGAGAGAAAATCCACAACATTTACGATCAGAGTACAACGTTTCGCCGGTAATTACAACGAGCATCATTAGGCGGACAGCCAGATTTGTGGAGAAATCCTCCTGTTTCATTCCTTAAATAGAGGGATAGATGTGATGACATCAATTGTGAGCTATTGTACTCGATTATAATTCATACGTCTCTGTATCAATGAACAAGGCTCAAGCAGTGCGAGGAAAGAAGCAGATACATTAAGTGTTTTGAATTCCGGTGTGGTGGCTAAACACAGAATCGTTTAGTCAAAATAGTCAGCCTGGTATACTAGGCCCTCAACGTGGGTGGACAAATCAATCGGTGAAGTTCACGTGACCAGTAACCACAGTAGTACTCTTTGGTTTTTTCGGTAAAGTCACGTAGATAAAAAAAGAAAACAACTCAATTAAATCACGACGTTTCGGGCGCAACACAAGCGTCCTTCTTCAGGTGGGGAAAACGTAGCGAAAGCACAAACGCTTAAGTTTGTGCTTTCGCTACGTGACTTTACCGAAAAAAACAAAGAGTATGGATCCTTGCAGTCACGAAAACTTCTAATCTAGAAGCACAGTAGTGTTGGGGCTAGGACTGCAGTAGTAGTAGTAGTTAGAGCGAGTACCTCTTTGTGTCGTAGTCCACAAGGACGTGAGTCTCCATGGCCATTTTCAGCTCGGGCACCTCCTCACTCACCCACCTGGGTTCACACACACACATATATACGGCATATATATAAATATAAACACACGCAAAGATGCCCCGTTTATCCTTACATACTATTGGGGAAAGTACTGCCATTAAGTACCTCTTTAGATTGGTATTGCACACAAGAGTAGTGTGGGCACACCACTCAAGAGACATACACAAGTGGAATAGTTACACACAGAGGTACACACAAATATATACAAACAACCGCTGTTTGCCATGAAATGGAGGTGACGTCACCACGATGCTTATGCCAGGCAAGGTGTACCTTGAGAATACGTAAACGTCGAGGGTTTTCCGGCAGGTCACAGGACAGAGCCAGGTGGCATGGGTTGACAATGATGATTGCCAGATGGCACCACCTGAGCTCCGCACTATGCCAAATTGCTGCGTTTAAGCCACCCGGCACTCCTATCATTATTGAGCGTCACTCCTTTGCCCTCCGCTGTTGTTGGAGTGTGACTGCCTCCAACTGCCTAGTAGCGTCCTCAACGATACTCTTCCAGAGGCCAATCTTGACACCGCTAGTGCCAGTTATTGACAAGTCCAATCAGCTCCACATCCTTTTGGATTGTATCAGCCCATCTCTTTTCTAGTCCATGCCGTGCCCATTTAGCACCCTCTATCCAGCCAAAAAGAAGCTTTTTGGGCATTGAGTAACTGGACATGACCAAGCTAATGGAGCCTCGTCTACCAGAGCTCATGGGACTGGGTCCAGATCTTTCAAGGATCTATAAGCTCCTCGCACAATCTAGTCTGGTTAAAGCCAGGATAAATTGTAGGAAGGCCAGCCTAAATGTTTCAAAGCAGTGCATATGTTCCTTTAAACGTTTCACAAGCACAGACGGGGGGGGGGGGCATCCAGGGTGGTAGGAGGGTAAGATATTTTTTGGAATTTTAATACTCTGAAAAAAAATCGTACCGTAATGTCATATTGTACCTTTGAATATATTTTCGTACCGTACCAATATGGTCAATTTCGTACCGTAATTTTGCACCTTATTTCGTACTTAAGAGAACAAAAAAGCCTACAAAATAAAGAATAGATAAGAAGCAAGCTTATAGTATATCGTTTTGCTTGATTGTTTTGGAATAAAGCTCCTTACACTTAAAAAAAATCTTCTGTAAACGTGTTTTGGATTTTTTTTCCCTCGAATTGACAAACAATTACTGAACCAAAATTGCATAATTTCGAAATATTGATTAAAATGCTTTACATTCTCATCCGTTATCAATGGAAAGTGAGATTTAAAGAAATGAATCTTGCGTGACGTTTAAATTTTTGATAACTGATGTGTTAAATTCTTGTAGCCGCCTTTAAAGACAAGAGAGTGAAATCATTATCAGAAATTCAGAAGCTTAGCTTCTAATTAATTGATCACCATGGTTGATATAAAGAGTACGAAAAAAACAAACTTTTGTACCGTACTGGAAGAAAAAATATCGTATCGTAATATCGTACCGTATTTAAAAAACAAAAATTCCCATACTGTGCCTTTGGTGGGCATAACTGTGGCCGAGAATATCTGGAGCTTTTTATATGGAGCAATACGCTAGCTTCCATACAACGTTACGCAACTGATGAAAAGATGCTGCTCGACTGATTCAGAGCGAGAGCTTCGTTGCCAAACCAGAGCTGGTCATAAGCACGGACAACTTCTCTAATCTCTCTAAAACTACCCCATCACAAATGGGACGTTGAGGGGGTGAGTGTTTTTTATATTTTTGTGGGGCTGATGGCAAGGTCCCATATCTACACAAGACAGACAATACAGGACAAAAGACCCTCATATAGCCTTAACAGACTTTTGGGGAAAGTGTTGTTAGCGAGCTTGCTGCGGTCCAGAGACACACACACACATGTATACAGAGACACACACAGCTCCATAGGCATGCGCGTGTGCACACAAATAGGTACGCACATACACAGGGCCACACAGATACGCACGCAGGTACACACACAACTGTCCCCCCCTCACCTGATGGTCTCTATGATTTCATGAGCAGCGTCGTGGTGTTTATCCTGCAACGACACCCACAAGTACAATTTAGTGTTCGAGCTCAACGTAGTGTGAGGATTCGCTTTTAGTATTAGGGTTGGGGGTGTACCAGGCTCGTGTTAGTGTCGTTAAGAGTGTTATGGTTTGGTTAGTGTTAAGGGTAACGGTTAGGGCTTAGACTAATATAACAAAATTAGGTTTAGTGTTTGGGCTATTGATAGTATTCGGATGAGTGTTGGTGCTAGTACAGTATTTGTGTTACGACCATTGTTCCGGGTAGTGTTGGTATTACGGCTAAGGCTGGTGTCAATATTAAGGCTAGACCAGTGCTAATGTTAGGGCCACTGTTAGAAATAAGGCTGATATTATTGTTAAAGCAAGGGATAGTGTCGATGTTATGGCTAAGGATGGTACAGTATGTCTTAGGAAGAGTGTTAGAGCGAGAACGCGTGTAAGGGCCAGTGCTCGGGCTAGGAGTAGCCTTAGGGTGAGGACTATGGTCAGTGTTAGGACTAGAACTAGTGCTAGGCTCGGTGTTAGTGTTAGGACTGGGGCTAGGCTCTGTGTTAGTGTTAGGACTGGGGCTAGGCTCGGTGTTAGTGTTAGGACTCGGGCTAGGCTCGGTGTTAGTGTTAGGACTGGGGCTAGGCTCGGTGTTAGTGTTAGGACTCGGGCTAGGCTCGGTGTTAGTGTTAGGACTGGGGCTCGTGCTAGGCTCAGTGTTAGTGTTAGTCACAGGGCTATTTGTTGTGGTTAGCCACAGGGCTATGTGTGAGGCAGTGAAGGCAGCAGACGGAGACTCACGTAGACCGGCAGAGGCCACGGGTAGACGGCCGGCTCCACGCCGCTGGGGCTCTTCAACCTCAGCTCCCGCGTGTCTGCGGCCTTGTCGCCCATGGCGGAGGGGTCCCGGGTCGCGGGGGTCCCGGGTCGGGGGAGAGACGCGGCGAGGGGGGCGGCAGAGGAGGGCGGGAGACGCTGAGGGGGACACGGGGGAGACACGGGGAGGCCAACAGAGGCAGGGAGACACGAGGATTTTACGGGGAGACGCTTCGACAAACTACGAGACACGGGGAGAGGCCGGGGAAAGAGGCGGCGGGGGGGGCACAGGGAGAAGGACGACACGGGGAGATGTGGGAACACGGCAAGATGCGGGGAGACCTGGGGCAGAGGAGAAGGGAGACGCGGGGTCACACTGGGAGGAGGAGGAGGAGGAGGGGGGGGGACACGGGGAGACGCGGGGAAGAGGAGGAGGGAGGCACGGGGAGACCCGGGCACACGACTCCCTGTGCCGCCTTGAGGCCGGGTCCCAGGGACCCCGCGCTTCTCTTCCGTTTGTTCGCGTTTTTTTCACCGAAGGCCGCGGGGGGAGGCGGACCCGGCCTCCTCCATAGACACCAATGGCTGGGGAAGATCTCTACCGTCTTCCGGAAGATCTCTACCGTCTTCCGGAAGATCTCTACCGGCTTCCGGAAGATCTCTATTGTCTTCCGGAAGATATCTACCGTCTTCCGGAAGATCTCTACCGGCTTCCGGAAGATCTCAACCGGCTTCCGGAAGATCTCAACCGTCTTCCGGAAGTAAGAGACCTCTTTGTATTGAAACTCTCGACGACTTCCGTCTGCCGGCTCTTCCGGAAGATTATTCCGCCCGTTTTTTACAACTTCCGGAAGAGGCCAACCGGCAGATTGCCTTGGTAAGGGGTGGGGGTCGTCGGTGGGTGGGGGTGGTTGGTCGCGGTGGGGAGGGGGGTTTCCCATCACGTGACCGATTGGCGCACGTGCCGTCACGTGACCCGCGTTCCCACCAATGACGTCACGGGAGTTTCCTCGCGATCTGGTTACGACGGAACCGTGCAGCACCGTCTCGTATTTCATTAAATCACCCAGATAACTTTAGATTTATTAAATAACCGCGACAACATCTCGGTATTATCAGACAATTAAATTATACACTTCGGGATTTTCCCCAACATGTCACCATTATACCATGAGAAAAAAAAAAAAAAAATGGATAACGTCGCTAATTAAATTGCACCGCACGAAACGAAAACAACTTTTGCCATTCCGCAAATGGCACGTGGCCATTGAACGCCTCTCGCCCAATCAGCCGCGGGGGCTTTCGCCTGCCCGCCCCCACTGCGCTGGGCCAATCAGCGCTGACCCCCACCCCAGCCCATGCGCACTGGGGAATCTCTAAGGGTTGGGGGGGGGCAAGGTGACCCCCAGGTGGGGCGGGGGGGGGGGCCAAGGTGACCCCCGGGTGGGGCGGGGGGGGGGGGGGCAAGGTGACCCCCGGGTGGGGCGGGGGGGGGGCAAGGTGACCCCCGGGTGGGGCGGGGGGGGCAAGGTGACCCCCGAGTGGGGCGGGGGGGGGGCAAGGTGACCCCCAGGTGGGACGGGGGCCAAGGTGACCCCCGGGTGGGGCGGGGGGGGGGCAAGGTGACCCCCGGGTGGGGCGGGGGGGGGGGCAAGGGGACCCCCGGGTGGGGCGGGGGGGGCAAGGTGACCCCCAGGTGGGGCGGGGGGGGGGGCCAAGGTGACCCCCGGGTGGGGCGGGGGGGGGCAAGGTGACCCCCAGGTGGGGCGGGGGGGGGGCAAGGTGACCCCCAGGTGGGGCGGGGGGGGGGCAAGGTGACCCCCAGGTGGGGCGGGGGGGGGCAAGGTGACCCCCAGGTGGGGCAAGGTGACCCCCCAGGTGGGTGGGGGCCAAGGTGACCCCCCGCAAGGGTCAAGGGTCGCGGCGAATCGACTGAGAGGGGCCATCCGTCTTGCATCTCGCACAATCTCCTCGTGCTCGTTACAATTGTATTGTCTGAACCGGTCATTGGGACCACCCGTGGGTCGACTCAGCCTCAAGTTAGTACTTGGTGCGATGTGTGAACTCACTGGGAAGACAAAGGCGGCCGGGCGTGGGGCTGGCCACGCACCCCGCCGTGTGCCACAGCGCTGGCCTTCATAGGTGCTCCTCGCAAACATCAATTGTCCCCAACAGTCTATTGCAGGTTACTGATGGACAGCCAGTTTTGTTTTACCAGGTTTAGCTTTCTACCAGGTTTAGCTTTCTTTTTTCACACTTTTGTTATGTAGGCTAGGCGTAGTCACAACCCGAACCTCTCCATAATAAAGGCTCAGTCTTTTGTTATGCAGTCTATTCATAGTCTCAAACCGCACCTTACCATACTGAAGACGGAAGCTTGTGTTGCCTCTGAAACGTCGTGATTTTTATTTTATTTTACTTTTATTAATTTAAATTTTTTACCTACGTGACTTTAGCGAAAAAGACCTAAGAATATAGTCTGTTAAAGGCAATAAGTATGCTAATTACATTTATATAGTGCTTTTTATTAAGGGGCCGTCCATAAATGACGTCACGCACCTGGGGGGGGGGGGGGGTCAGACATTTGTGACGATGAGTGACGAGGGGAAGGGGTTTGAGAAATGTGACTTCACATCAAAATGCGCAACTTTAAATAAATATAGACAACACGTTCTACTTAATTAAATAGACTTTTTAATAAATGTTTTCTCCTACAACATCAGAGTGCAGCGCCACATTAAATACGCACTACAATGACAATATTTTAAAGCGATTTGAAGCATGTTTTATTTTGGGGGGGGGGGCAGAGCTTTGTGACGTCATATTTGAGGGGGGGGGTCTGACTTTTTGTGACGCCGTGTGACGAGGGAGGGGGGGGGTCAAAAATCGTCCAAAATCGCGTGACGTCATTTATAGACGGCCCCTAAGAATCTCGAAGCGCTGTACAGGACACAAAAGCAGCAGCAGCAGACACTCAGCATAAAAATAAGTACATTTTAAGAATCATTAGTGAAATGAACTAAACTTTAATAAGTGGAAGCGTATAAATATATTTCCAGGCGCATTTTAAAAATGTCCACAGATTCAGAGATCGCTGATATCTCGTGGAAGAGCGTTCCATCGCCTGGGGGCTCCACGGGAGAAATCTCGGCCACCCATGGACCGAAATCATGACCTGGGAATGCAGAGAAGATCTGCATCCCAAGATATTAAGAGAGCGTTGTTATAAGTGTCACCTCGGCTATATATTTGTGACAAATCTCTGCTACTTAGCCCTGCTCGAACAAAAATTTAAGAAAAAAACACACAACGACCAAAGATAACATGAATATACTGTCGTTATTCAACTGTGTAAAACCCACATGGCATTGTATTAGCGTGGTAAATTTATGCGTGTATAAGAGTCATTTTGTCACTCGATTGACTGGGTGAATTTGTAATTTTGGTGACCCCAGGGTCGCTGTTGCAAATAAGACTCTCGGTGCTGGTCTTTTGAGTTCTCTCAAATAGTTAATCATCTAAATAAAGTCCACACATTTGAGCTGGGGAGGGGGGGGCTATATCACCATAGCCCCCTATGCTGGTCAGTGTGGAAAGCTGAAGGCTGGGAGCATTAGGCGTGGAAGCATAGAAGTTATCCACAATATCGGTATTTTTGGGTTCGATCGCGTACATTTAAATGTGTCGTTAAACCCGCCACCACCCGACACAGTCAAATAGTAAGGTTTGTCACGACGGGTTTAACGACACGTTTATAGTAATAGGTTTTTAACCCTTTTATCTGGCACCAAAACTGACACCTTTATACAAGGGATCATTGCAAAAATGATCATTGCAAACATGATCCCTTGTACAAAGGTGTCAGTTTTGGTGCCAGATAAAAGGGCAAAAACCTATTACTGTATCTTGCTACTGGCAAAGGAGGTCTCATAATGACACGTTTATATTTACGCGACCCACCCCCCTCCCAAAAACAACCCCTCTTATACTCTTAGCGTTTTCAGGTAAAGTCACGTAGGTAAAAAATAATAGAAAAAAAATAATAGAAATAATAATAGAAAGAAAATATTTATATTTTATTATTAGTTATTATTTCTATTATTTCTTTTACCTACGTGACTTTACCGAAAAACCTAAGAGTATGAATCCTTGCAGTCACGAAAGCTTCAAATCTAGAACCCCTCTTATGGCTAACATTACTCGCAAAATCCTCCTTTACGGAGTGAAAGCCTCGAAGTCACACACCAAGAGGAGCCTGCCCCCTGCTGCCAAACCAACGCATCGCACGCCACCACCACTCAACTCTGGGGCTGGCGCTAGAGGTCAAATAAACCTCTGAGCTGGCAAGGCGAGCCGAGCGCGTTTTTTTAATGTCACAACGTCCCACTCGGCTCACCGTCCGATTGAGGCCGCGATCTCTTCACCACCTCCACCACCTCCGCCGACATGGCGAGCGAGCCGAGCGCGGATGTCCGCCTCCGTCGCCAGCAGATCTTCACCCTGCGGCGGCAGTGGCTGCGCGACCAGGAGCTGAGCCCCCGGGAGCCCGCGACGTTGCCCGGGACGCGGCCGGGCCCCGTGGCGGCGGCCTGGGCGAGGTTCCTGCAGCCCGGCACGGCGTGGAGGCTTCGCGTGAGCGGCTCCGCACGACTCACGCAGGAGACGTTCTCTCGCAACCCTCCTCGCGATTATCACTTCCACCACCTCCCCTCCTGTCTGCCCTGCCTGCTTATTAACGCCTTCGCCCGCGTCCACTGATTATCTAAGCGCCTGTCGAAGGCCTCCACCGTCAGCTGCACGCTAACCCCCCAAGACGTTCACCTCCACTCGCTCGGCTTTAACCCTCTGAACGTGACCTTCACCGTCTCTCGCTCACCTCCACTCGCAACCCCTTCGCGTACCACCTCCGCCTACATCGACCCCTTCATCCTCACCGCAGTGCGATTGTGGCTACGCGACCTCAACTATGGGGCAGTTTAGGTTGGCTACGTGCGGTGCGAAAGAAGTTAGACACGTATACACGTGGGACATCTCGTGAACCGATGTCGTCTGTGCGCCTTCAACGGAGGAGGGGCAGCAGACCCACACGAACTCCCTCTTGAGGGCCCTCTCGTCGTGGTTAGCGGACCTCGACAAGGACATTCAGCTCTTGCACATACGGCCATAGGCAAGACTAGATGAGAACCCTCACCTCCACTCTTAACAGCAACCCTCCCTCGCAGCCACCCTACCCCTCACCTCCACTCTAACAGCCACCCTCCCTCGCATCCATCCTACCCCTCACCTCCACTGTCACTCATCCTGACCATGCGATAGTTTTGATATTTATGCTGGTGATGACTGTGTTTGCGTTTATGATGGGATGTTTTGTTATTATGGCGATGATGGTATTGATGTTAATGGTAATTATGTCGATGGTATATTTGGATGTTGATGGTGGTGTTAATAATGGTGGTGGTGATGTTGATGGCAATGGTTTTGATGTTCATGGGGATGGTGGATGTGTTGGACAATGGTATTGGTGGTGACAATGGTGGTGTTGATGTTGTTTGCAGACGTACCGTGCGGCACAGTCGCTCTCGTTTGGATTTCGCTTTGTTCTGGTCCCGGCCTGGATCGTTCACTACTACTTGAAATACCACGTGGCCACGGTATGAAAACAACCACCACCACACAATTCCACTACTACCACCACATGCACCACCACAAACAGCCTTCACATTTACAGCCATCACTACAATACCAGCACAACCACTACAATACAACGACAACCTCTACAATACCATTTTGACCACAACCACCACAACTACAATCTCATCACAACCACAGCCACCAATGTTACGACAACCACAGTTACCATTGGAATGCCACCACTATACCAGAAGCATCACTACAATACCACTACATCCATCAGACTACCATCACAGCCACCAATTCGATACCACCACTACTATACCATGACAACTGGTTACCACAATGCCACCTCTTTACAATTATACCAAGACACTAAATATAATTACATTCACACTGACCCGTAACAATACACACAACCACACAACAAACCATAACAACTATAAGCACGAGTACACAACAATCATAACCACAGTATAACCTCAACAATTATCACATGCAAACAATCACCACAACATCCAAATATCACTGCTACACAGCCACAACATTCACGACAAAAAACAAACACACGGCTAAAGTCACAGCACATGATTACAATACCGGCAATACAAATTACATACAAGTGCATCAGCATTACAACCACATCAACATCTACCACGACCACACGACACCACTATTAGTCATCTACTGTATATTGATATTGTTGGAGTGATGTTAATGATGTTGATAATGTCGATGTCGTTGCAGGACGTACCATACGGTCATTGTCGCACCAAACCTAGGGTTTACCCGGTGAGTGTGTATGTCTGTGTTTGCCTGTGGGTAACTGTCTTTGTGTTTCACTGTGTTTTACTGTCCGTGTTTATATCTGTGTGTGTGTGGGAATATGTGGTTGTGTACCCATGTGTGTGTTTTTGCGGTGTTTCTGTATGTTTGCCTGTGAATGTGTGTACATCTATACTGTATATGGGGAGCAGTAGTGTAGCAGTTAGCGTGCTGCACTACGAATCCGGCCCCCGAGTTCAATTCCCACTCACGACCAACACTAGTGACAATTATCTGAACTGGTCTTGGGCCTCCCCTAAGTCGACTCGGCTTCAAATGAGTACTTGGTGCGGTGTGTCAACATCGACCACTTGGGAGACAAAGGTGGCCAAGCGTGGTGTAGCCACCCACCCCCGCATGTGCCGTGCCACCCTTAATAGGTGCTCACTAACCGCACTGGCCTCAACAGTCTGTTAAGACTTTTTGTATGTGTGTATATTTTGTTGTATTCATTATGCGTATGTGTGTGCTGCAGGGTGACACAATTGTGGAGACTGGGGAGGTGATCCCTGAACTGAACATCCCCCACGCCGATCACCACCACTGAGACCCCTGTCCATCCCCTGCGAACTCGACAAGTTTGGGTCAAGTAGCCAGGGGGGGGGGGGGCATAAAGCAAATTGAGGGAGCACAGCACATGGCTAACCACCCCCCCCAATACACTGTCGTAAATGTGTTGTGGGGAGGGAAGCTGCCCCTGCTGCCCCCTATGTATCTACGTCTACGAGTAATGCAAAACCCACATGCAGTGGCCTACCTTAACCATCGTCATCACCAACATCGTATTGATTGATTGATTGGAGAATTTAAATAAATGAATTCTAACTTAACATCTGTGGGTGTGTCAGACTTGTTTTCTGAGCAATGGAGAAAGGTGTGATGGGGGCTACGGTGAGGGTTCGGATGGGAGGTTATATTTAGGATTTGGGACGGTGTTAGGATTAGTGTATGGTTTATGATCAGAGTTTATTGTTAAGTTGATTGGCATAGGGTCAGTGCAGGGGGTAAAGATATTAAGGTTGGTTAGTGTTTGGGTTAATGTTAGGATTTGGGTAAAGTTTATGATTTGGATAGGGATGCATAATACTACAGAGTCCATGTTAGGGTCTGGATTCGAGTTCAGTTTAAACTTTGGTGTTAGTATTAAGATAGAGTAAGAGTCAAGGTTATTAGTGTACGAGTCAGGGTTAAGGATGGGGTCAGAGTTGGGCTTTTAGCTGTTAGGGTAGGTCCAGTTTAAAGTTTGGATCAAGGTTATGAATAAGATAAGGATTTTAACTGTTAGTGCCAGGGATAGCTTCACAGTTAGACTCAGGGTGGAAGGTTGTGTCAATTTCTTGGCAATTGATTATTGCTGGGCTGATTACGATTAGTGCTGAACGAATCTTCCAATAATCATATTTGAATCCCACAATTCCACCCGACATCCCTGCAGGAATCCTGTTTCTTCTATGGGTGACACCTGTGTTAGTACTGTGGGATCCTAATATAAGCAATTCTACCGTTGAAGAAATGCTGTCCTCCGCTGACCTCGTAGTCCAGAACTCCCCTCCGTTATCTATGCTGTCGACTGCTCAAGTCCAGGTTCAAAATCTCGCTCTTTTCCGCCACCTGTGACTTCTTGTCTATATACATAATAAATATGCCCATTCCTATATTTCCTGTCGGGACACGATATGAATCCAAATTGTATGTCTTGTGTATCATGCATTAGTCTCCCATTCATTTTAATGGAGATGTTTGAATCACCATTGAAATTAATTGGAATTTCATGGACAATTCCTAAGCTGTCACAGAATCCCAATGTATTCAATGGAGATTCGTGTGTATCCATACAAACAAGTGGGATTATTTGATAGCTTGAGAATCATTTGGTAGAATCTAGATTTGAAGCTTTCGTGACTGCAGGAATCCATACTCTTTGGTTCTTTCTTTTTTTTTGCTTGCTGTGGTTTTCCCACCTGATGATGATTGCTTGTGTTGCAATCGAAACGTCGTGATTAATTTCATACCTACGTGACTTTACCGAAAGAACCAAAGAGTATTTGGTGGAATGTTAATCATTTCAATGGACAAGCAGGAATCGCCATTGAATTCAATTGTTATTCTCCGACAGTCTTAGGAAACGTTTGTGGCATCTCTACTAATTTCAATGGCAATTCTTGCTTCATAAAAAATAAGATTGTGTTGCATGATCCTTATGATGTTTATAAATCCCAGTCAGTAGAAACATTAATGGCGAAGCAAGAATCGCCACTGGAAACTGTCAGAGAATTGCCATTCATTGTAAGCTTTGCTTCTCCAGTGGTTATAATTGGCTGCCTGACACAGCAGAACACGATTGCCATTCAGCAGCAAACGCTTTGGCAATTCCTGCATAGAACACCCTGGCGATTCCGCGATTCCAAAGATCTCACAATCCTGTTAGGAATCATATTTGATTCCGAGCATTGAATTGCAATTCGAGGTGAGGGTTCATAGGAATAGCCCAACACCGCTGCTGCTGACAGCTCATTAAAATCATCACGGAACAGCGTGTGACAAGGACAATGAACTCATTTTAATTAGAAGGCCCAGTTAATTGCATCACATTAATCAGCACACATTATTTTGTACATTATATATTACTGTATACATGTGATAAAAGCACACACTGTACATGCATGAGCATGGTATATGTATACCCTTTATAGACTCACCAATTCAACTGTTTGTGAGCAACTGTTATGGCTGTTGTGAGCACGCATTTGTGTGTATGGTGAAGATAGTGGTGCAGTTGGAACTACCAGCTGCTGTTGTCTTGCCAGGGGAGAGTTTATTAAACTACTATCACTTTTTATTTTACCAGGTAAGGCCGACTGAGCTATATAGCTCTTTTTCAGAAGCGACCTGGCCACAAATGATCGCTCAACGAAGTGGCTTATCACGTGGGCATTTATAGCAGCCAAATACTCTAAAGCAGTGGTTCTTAACCTTTACTGCAGCCTTGCACCGCTTTGGTTCTCCATCGTATAAAAAATTAGAATGTAAATAAATACATAGGTTTGATTTAACAAAATAGTACTCACGTGCCCGTGCTTAATTTGTGTTTCGATGATTTGCCTTTGAAAAAAATCTGGCATGTATCGCACCCCCAGAAAGGGCATCTCGCACCCCCAAGGGGTGCGTACACCACAGGTTAAGCACCACTCCTCTTAACGCATGTTGATTCTAAATGTGGAGGGTAAAACCAGAGGACTTGGAGAAACATCCACACGACCACGGGGAGAACATGCAAACTCCAAATATACAGCAGGCGTCAAGATCGGGATCGAACCCACGACCTGCATACCAGGCAAGGTAATGGATATCTTCCCACCATGACCACTTCAACCACCACCACTGCCACAACACTAGTAACTGCAAGTTTTTGGGCCAAGTCGACCTGGGCAAGACCCAGACCAGGTAAGTTGCGTTTGAGATACAGAAAATTCATCTCAATGGCATCTCACTTGTTAAAATAAGGGACGGTAGGAGAAGTTGCAGCCCTTCGTCAATGCACTGATGGATTAAGGCCTCCCCACGCAATCTGGGTCTTGGGGGTTGTTTGGCCATACTTCACCACACTGGTTAGTTCAAGTAGGTGAAGTCCCAGGACTCGTTCAGATATCACTCGCCACTGATGTTAGCAATGGTCAATAATCGGACTCTGGTCACCGGTTTATAGTGCAGCACGCTAACCAGTGGTGTATCTGCTCCTCATACAAAGGACAGTAATACTAGAGCAATGATATTTAATAGCAGTGATAACCAATATATCTCATCACAGAACCCCTAAACCACTAACCCTCATCATAACCCTACATAAAACCCACACGCTAACCCAAACACTCTATCACGAACCTTGCCCCTAATGTCATCGCCATAACCCAAGCCCGAACCCCAACCCCAACCAGTTACCATGATTGACATTGGCCCTGGTGCAAGGAATAAAATGGGGGGGCCCTTGTCCAATTTACACCGAGGCTCATCTCACCCATAGACCCCAATGCAGATGTACGGCCTGCACACATTGATTGTTACACAACTGACCCCCAACCCTAGCACCTGAACTCTATCATGAGCCATAACCCCACCAGTAATCCCAAATCCTTACCTCAAGCCTTAACTTTAACACTGCCCTTGACCCTGCCAACACTACACCACTGTTTCACCATCTAACACCCAGCTCGGGCCTTCCGCCGTCCCTAGCCGTAGCGTTACACCCTCTAGCCCTGACCCTTCGGTCCCTGCCCGTCTATCCCCTACCTCTCTCGGGCCTGCCCCTTCCTCTGCGCTTGCCTCTGCATGGAGGGGGCAGTGCTGGGTGGCGTGTGGAGAGTGGTGCAGGAGGAGCCCCGTGGAGCCTCTCCGCTCGGGCCCCGGCTCCACGAGGAGGCAGGGGGACACGTGGGCCATGTGGGGGCCCGATGGCTCCAGCTTCCAGCACAAGGTCACACCGGGAGGGGGGCCCCGACGACCACCCCCACCCTCTCGACGCCTCCCAATGGGTTTCCCCTCCAGCAGCAAGCACGTCGGCATGGGGAGGCAAGGAGGAGAAGGAGGAGGGGACGACGATTGATGAAGAGGAGGAGATGATGATGATTGCGGTGGTGTAGAAGTGGACAATAGAGGAGATGGAAATGCAGATGCTTTAAGATGTGGAGGAGATGTATGTGATGATTGTGGTGGTGTAGACGTGGATAATGGAGTAGGTGAAGGATGTGTCGCTGCTGGTGGTTGAGTAGGTATAGTCGTAGACGATCTAAGAAGCGCAGATGATTGAGGGGGCAGAAATTCTGACGAATGACGATGAGGAGGTGGAGAAGCAGCTCGAGGTGTCGACAATTGAGTCGGAGGTGCCGGAGGGCCTGGCGGTGGAAGCCACCCCTCGGACGCGCGCCAGGCCGACTCACGCCGGGAGCCCCCTAGCAAGGGCCCGCCGAGAAGAGGCAACGTGGAACAGGTGGACAACCGGGCCCCCGTCTCTGCCGGGGCGAGCATGAGGCAGCCAATCCCCGCGTAGGTGGACGTCCTGGGACACACGCGGCCCATGGCTTGCGAGCCGGTGGACAGGGTGGACAACCGCTGGTCCACGCAGGCGCAGTGCCCGCCGAGTAGAGGCGGCAGACGCCGCGGGGGAGGAGTGTGGAGGTGCAGGTAAGGAGTCGAACCGTTGGGGTCCCAGCCCAAGCAGCCGGCACTCAGGTGCGCCGATGAGGCGGGGGAGGAGAGGGGACGAGCGGAGGTGGATGCAGGGTGGTCCTCCATGTGGACGCCACGGGTAGCGTCAGAGTCTCCGTTGCCCCAGCAAACCAGGGAACCTAGCCTGGCACGGGCGGTGGAGCCCGGAGGGGTGGCGGGTGGAGTGGGCTCCGTGGGGACTTGGGACTTCACCTGTGGGGTTAGAGTTTGGGATAAGGTTTAGGTGCAGATTAGGGTTGGGTGTTAATGTAGGGGTTAGGTTTAGGGCCAGACTCAAGGGTAGGGTCACGGTTAGAGGATAGGGGTTAGGGTTACATTTGGGGTCAGGGTGGTAGAAAGGTGGTTAGGGTTAAATTTGGGGTCAGGGTGGTAGGGTTCGTCTTTGGTCATTGTGAGGGTGGGGTTGGGTTTTGGGGTGAGGTGGATTAGGGTTATTAATGGGTTGGGGTTATGGGTGATGCTTCTGTCAGGCCTAGCGTTAGGGCATTGGAGAGACTCCCCACCAGCAGACGGGACACAATCATAACCTGGATCTCCTCCCGCACGTCGCGACGAGTAATCCCTGTGGGAGACGAGGGGATTAATCGAGAGGGGGTGAGAGGCGGGCAAATATTGTTTATTATCGTTATTAATGTGTACTTTAACTGTTCAAATACGAGCGTGACAATGTTCGTGCATAGGAGGATTAGAGTATTAATAGCGACCTGTATCAGGTTTCCCCTCATAACCATTATAGTTTAGAGCCTCTTAGGTGAAGGCCAGTTACGGGGGGGTTGATTGATCCCACTTCACCACGATGATCAGTGCGAGTTGGTGAAGGGTTAGTTGAGGGTGCAGGGTGACCATATATCGCTAACAACTGATGTTAGCCATGGTCAGGAATACAACTAAACTAAAAACTATGTTTTATTTTACCAGGTTATCCCACTGAGCTATATATATATAGCTCTTTTGAGAAGCGATCTGGCCACAAATGATAGCTCAACGAGGTGGTGTATCACGTGGAGATGTATTGCAGCCAGATACTCTGAACGGGTGTTCATGCTAAATGTGGAGGGAAGTACCGGAGGACCCGGAGAACAATCCACATGACCACGGAGAGAACATGGAAACTCCACATTCTCAGGCGTCAGGGTCGGGATGGAACCCACGACTGTCTGCATACCAGGTGAGGTAGTTCACAACTCTGGCAGTGTGCTAACCGCTGCCATCGGCCTTCTCTCCTGTCCTCCACCAATTTTCTAAAAAGGACCCCCCCCCCCCTCCCCAAGAAAAGGGATTTGAAGAAATGTGGTGTCACAGTTGGGAGTTGGCACACTTCAAACCTTGCACACAAAAAACACCTGTAGTAGAACGAGATTCAACAACAACCATCGCAAGTTTTTCGCCCTACCTTCACCCTCACCCCATTTTCTTCACACTTCCACGCAATAATAACACGACTTCATGGACTAACAAGGAAGAATTAGCAGAATGTTATTTTCAGGGTTTTTTTTTATAGACTCGATACTATTTGAGCCAAATGTCAGATTTCTAGCGTTTTGTGTCGTACTTTTTGTGCCATGGTTGCCATTGCTTTAGGAGAGGGCGGGGGGGGACATTTTGCAAAATGTTGGGTTTCAGCTTTTAAATGAATGGTTGTCGCATTTGGATTGGGCACCCTTCCTCGGCCTAGGTAAAAGCAGATAACAAACTCTCATGAAATGAAATTAAAACATTATCTTGATATTGTCCTTGTTGTAAACATGGACTCGAGTATACTTGTGAATAATTGCAGCTTTTCGAGCCTTTCGAACGTCATTACATCAGTCTTCTCACGGCCGGTGGCCTCGTGCTGCCGAGACGAAGTATCCGAGGGGATGGGATACCAGGAGGCGACACTTGAGACACCAATTGTCAGCGTGGTGACCATTCCCGGCCACGGCACACATCAGCGGCGAATTGGTATCTGAGCCGGCCTTCGGCTCTATAGCCCTTCACCAACACCCATTGACCAGCGTGGTGAAGTATGGTCAACACCCCACACCCCACCCACCCCCATGATTGACACTGTTTGAAGGAAGCCTTCATCCAATCGCTGGTTGACAATACACTGCAAATTAAATATTTTCCCACTCGTGTTGACGACAAATCAAATTCTATGCACGAGAATAGATTATTGGGTCGACGCAAATGACGTGTAAATTAGTTTGCTAACGTTACATTTCGGTTAATTGCAACAAACAAGACATACGACACGCGTGACAATTCGTGACACTGGCAACGCGCGGCTGGAAGAGAATCTTGAACAAGGATATTCAGTTACACGTTAAACAATTAGCAATTTAAGCGTTGTTGGTTTTCTTTATTACTTCTAAACATGAAATTGTAAATTGAGCCGAGCAAGCGAGCCCAGGTCCTCTCTGTGCGTTACCTGAGAAGCATTGGTGCTCGGGGCTTGCGTTAGGACTTTTTTTTCATGGTATCAATGTTAGTGCCAGGGCTAGTGTTGGTGTCAGGGCTAGTTTCACAGGGCTGGCAATGGTGTTACAGGACAAGTGTCAACGTTAGTGTCAATGTTGGGCATGAATCTCACCTCTTCACCTCCTCTGCTGCTGCTTCCATCCCTAGCCCCCGGGGTCCGAAGGGGATCCGATTGGATCCCTGAAACCTCCTTCTGCTCCCACTCCTCCAGGCCCAGCCGCTGGGGAACCCGAACAGGAACTCTTTCACCTTCTTGAGAGTCCTCAATATGAACCCCGGCTGGACCCCCTTGAGAGACATTTGAATCACCTTGAAGGTCTCCCTGGCCCCTTGTAAGGATCCCTGGATCCACGGTAGTGTCACTTTTACCCTCTTGAATATCTTTTGGACTATCAGTAGCATCCTTAAGAACACTTTCAGGGTCTTCCTCGTCCCCTTGATGGATTATTAAATCCCTAACAGAGTATTTTCGATTCCTTTTAAGATCCCCCTTACCCCTTTTAAGATGCACAGAACCAAACAATGTCTCATTGGAACCCCCTTCTTGGACTCCTTGACGCCCTGGCTGGATTTTTAGACCCGTAGCGGAGTCTCTGGAACCCCGTTTAAGGTCCGCGCGCCCCATTTTTAGAACTTCTGGGCCTAAAGTTATGCCCTTGGGACCCCATTCAGGATGCCCCTGATGCCTTGCGGTGCCCCTATGACCCACTTGGTGAATATTTTTTAGACTCCGAACGGAGTCTCGAGAACCCCGTTTTAGAACAAGACCCGGACCTCCAGCCACGACCTTGAGACCCCACTCAGGGTCCTTGGGATCCCGTGCAATGCCATCTCCCCGAGTCTCCGCGGGATTCCGCCGACCCCGCCGCAGGAACGGAATCCTGGGGAAGTGGCGCCACCCCCGTGTGATGCGGGCGGCCGCGATGATTGCGAGGCCAGGCAGGCAGATGGCGAGGCCGAGCACGAAGAGCGGCACGGGCCCCAGCATCTCCCCCCGCAGCCCCGACACGGTGAACATGAAGCCGAAGAAGAGCACGATGGAGACCAGGGCCACGGTGATCCCCGTGCGCGGGTCCAGGTCTTCCTGCTTCATGGCGAGCGAGCCTTCGGGGAGGTGCCGGATGGAGTTGGTCACAGAAGGAACCGTGGAGCTGGGACCCTGGAATGGCAGGGAGACCGGAGAGAGAGTGACGGACCAGTTGGACGACCTGAGAGAGGGAGGGGAGTATTGGGACACGCGACTTTGGGGGGAGAGTGTGGAAGGGAGGTGACTTCTGGTTTTGATGGGGGTAGGGAGAGGGGTGCTTTGGAGAAAACTAAATGAATGGGATAGGGAACGAACAAATAGGGATACCTGGGTTTAAGGGACCTATGCAGAACCTGGGAAAAGGGAGGGGATGATGGAGGTGGGGATCTGGGAAAATGAGAGGAAGTGGAAGAGGGAACCTGCGGAGGGAGGGGTGGGATGTGGTAAACACCTGGGGAGGGGAATCACTGAGGGGTTCGGGTTGATATGTTGATGAAGATCTGGGAAAATTTAAGCTGGAGTAGTGGGGACCTGCGAATGTCGAACTGAGACTGGGATTAGGATGAAATGGGGGAAATCCGGGAAGGGAGTCCTGATGTGAGGTAGAGGGACCTGGATAGGAGAGACCGAGCGAGGGAAGACCTGGAGGGAATAAAATATGATTGTAAAGAGGCTCAGAAGAGGATGGACCCTTTAGGAGCGACTCCGATATGAGACCTGGGTGGTGCAGAGCGGCGGCGGAGAAAGCCACGAAAACCAGAAAGGCGACCGGACACCGGAGAGTAGCTGAACGAACTGGGTAAAGAGACGTGGGAAGACAGCTGGCAAACTGTTTACTGGGTCGGTGGAGGGAGAGCCGCGGGTCGCGAGGGGTACCTGGGGGTATGGTAGGGAGAGACCCCGGGAGTGGTGGATAAGTTGTGGCGAGAGCTGGGCGGAGAGGAAGACCGCCCGATGAGGTCGTATTGGAGCTCTCGATAGCTTGAAAGAGCGGGATATAAACTTCAAACACTCGGATGTTCTTTCAAATTAAAATGCCTGTTCTATCCAGAGTCATTGGTGCTTTCAAAATACAGGTTCCTCGACGATCAAAGGCCCCCTTGTGAACCACGTCTCACGTACCTTGACTTCCGTTCAAATAAAAGTATCTCGATCGTCCAGAAGCCTCGGTCAAAAAATAAGGTTCCACCGATGATTGTCCCTTGACTCAACTCCTTCAAAATAAAGGTCTTCCAATAATCCAGGTTACTCAAAGTGATCGTCTCTCGATGATTCGGGTTCCGTGACGCCTCTTCAAGGTAAAGGTCTCTCGATCATCCCGAGCCCTTGTCTCGACTCCATCAAATAATGTCTCTCACTTTGACCCTGAGGATTTGCGTGAGAGCCGAGTGTTTGGTGAAGGCAGTGAAGACAGCGAGTCTGTGCGCGTGCGTGAGAGAATGCGAGCGAGAGACCGTGTCAGAGACGTGAGTGTGTCTGTGTAAGCCGAGGTGTGTGAGAACATGTAAGTAGAGTGTGTATGTACGTGTATGTGTGTCTGTGTGTGTGTAGGTGGCGGGTGTGTGTGTGCATTATTTGTATTCGTGTGTCTGTTTGCGAGTGGTGTGTGCGTGGACGCATGCACGTATGTGTGTGTTCGCTCATAGCACTTGCCCCGCAGTATGTTAAAGGCTATACGGGGGATCTTTGTACTGTGCGTGTGAAAGTGAGGATAAGTTCAGAGGGTTTACATTTTGACAGAGGGGTTGTTCACATCCACAAGCGGACACATATACTGATACACACACGAACACTCATATACTGTCACAAATACAAAGATCCCCCATATAGCCTTAACAGACTGTAGGAGCAAGTGCTGTTAGCGAGTACCGATGAAGGCCGGTACACGTACAGCACACGAGGGGGTGGGATTCCAGCACCACGCCCGCCCGCCTTTGTCTCCCCAGTGGCGATGTTTACTACACACCGCTACACCAGGTACTCATTTGAGGCTGAGTCGACCTAGGGAGAGGCCCATGACCGGTTCAGATAATCGTCACTGGTGGTGTTGGCCGTGAGCGCGAATCGAACCCTGGTGGCCTGGTTCGTAGCGCAGCGCGCTAACCGCTGCACCACCGCTCCCCACATGGAGACACATGTACTGATACACATACACATTATGTATACATATATTTTTAAACACACACACTGTGATACATATGAAGTATAGATACAGACGGATGCATACGTATGTATATCGTTGTTCCAACTTACGAACCGTTAGACTTAAGAACGGGGTTCTCGAACGGAACTCTGTTCGTAAGTTAGGGACTGACCGTATAACGCACATAATGTGGTGACACCTGTGCCTCACAGCAATAATTACCTGGGTTCGATTTCCGCACGCGGGGGTCTCTGTTGTGTGGCGTGTCTATGACCGTCACCTGCTCTGAATGGGTTTCCTTCGGCGTCTCTGGTTTTCTGCCGAGCTAATGAAAATACAATGCAACTGGTATTGGCCCAACTTCTCAATTCTGAAATATGACTCTGTTGGGATTAGGGGCCGTCCATAAATGACGTCACGCGATTTTGGACGATTTTTGACCCCCCCTCGTCACACGGCGTCACAAAAAGTCAGACCCCCCCCCTCAAATATGACGTCACAAAGCTCTGCCGCCCCCCCCAAACCATATTTCCATTTAGAAAATAAAACATGCTTCAAATCGCTTTAAACTATTGTCATTGTAGTGCGTATTTAATGTGGCGCTGCACTTTGATGTTGTAGGAGTGTTGTTATAACAATTCTATATTTATTTAAAGTTGCGCATTTTGATGTGACGTCACATTTCTCCCTCCCCCCCTCTCTTCGTCACACATCGTCACAAATGTCTGACCCCCCCCCCCCCTAGGTGCGTGACGTCATTTATGGACGGCCCATTACGCACAGCGTACATCGCCCCCACCCCCTCGACTGTGGAAAACCGAGGCTTTCCTGACTAAACATAAACTATCCATGCATACACGGGGGGCATACGCCTCTGTCTCCCTATGGTTTATATGATGCCACGTCTATGCTGCCCGCCTTCACCAACCAGCTCGGACCAGCGAGGTGAAGTATGGTCACATAACCCTCGCGCCCCACACGGCGTGTCGATAGACCGTGGCTGATGATGAAAACCACACAACTGCATTTACACATACAAGAAACCCGGTATAGTCTTTAACACACTGTGGGGTGAGTGCTGTTAGTGAGCACATATGAAGGCCGGAACGGTACACGAGGGGGTGGGTGGCCAGCGCCACTCCCGGCCGCTTTTGTCTCCCTAGCGGCAATGCGTACACAACGCACCACGTCACTCATTTGAGGCTGAGTCGACTGAGTTGAAGCCCAAGACTGTTTCAGATACTCGTCACTGGTGTTGGCCGTGAGCGAGAGTCGAACTCGTGTTACCCGGGTTCGCAGAGCAGTGTGCTCAGCATACGAATTCACATGCATAAACAGAACACAAATAGATACAGCATGCATACACACACTGATGTCCACTCCCACTCATGTCCACACATACCTACACCCATACACAAAGGTCCTCTTATAGCCTCTTCACACTTCTGGGACTGTTCGTGAGCACCGATTAAGGATGCGGCGACCTTTTACCACGTGCGAAGAGGTGTGACTAGAAACCACGTTTCAATGTCCAACACATGCCCGGGATGCCTTTGTCTCTCCAACATTACGTATCATCAATTCAACAACTATCATAATCAGCAGCATGCCTATCATCAACGCCACCAATAACGAATAAACCAGTCGTCTATCGCTATTATCATCACCAACACGGGAAACATTTCCATAACCGTCATCATCAGCGTTATCGATACAATCGTCCACATCATCATCATCACCACCACCACCACCACCATTAACCACCACCATATAATCATTAGCATCACCATCAACTTAATCACTAACATCCTCACAATCATGAACAAAATTGTCATCAACGGACATAATCATCACCACGCCACCGCCATCATCATCAGCACCAAAAACATTATCACCAATAACCGGCGTATCATCATCGTCATCATCGCTGCTAATTGTGGTGGTGGCGATGATGGGTTAATTAGGGATCGTGCCAGGACACGTGACACCGAGCAGCTGCCGCTCCCCGCCCCTGAAACGAGAGAACTTCCGCGGATTTTCACAGCGCGCATTCCGCTAAAATGGGAAACAACACCCTCTTCCTCGGGCCCAGTCTTCCTCCAGCACGGAGCCCAGTCTCCCTCCACCACGGGACCCAGTCTCCCTCCACCACAGGGTCCCAGTCTTCCTCCAGCACGGAGCCCAGTCTCCCTCCACCACATGGTCCCAGTCTCCCTCCACCGCGGAGCCCAGTCTTTCTCCACCACAGGGTCCCAGTCTCCCTCCACCACGGGTCCCAGTCTCCCTCCACCACAGGGTCCCAGTCTCCCTCCACCACGGGTCCCAGTCTTCCTCCACCACGGGTCCCAGTCTCCCTCCACAACGGGGCCCCAGTCTCCCTCCACCACAGGGTCCCAGTCTCCCTCCACCACGGGTCCCAGTCTCCCTCCACCACAGGGTCCCAGTCTCCCTCCACCACGGGTCCCAGTCTCCCTCCACCACAGGGTCCCAGTCTCCCTCCACCACGGGTCCCAGTCTCCCTCCACCACGGGGCCCAGCCTCCCTCCACCACAGGGTCCCAGTCTCCCTCCACCACAGGGCCCAGTCTCCCTCCACCACAGGGTCCCAGTCTACCTCCACCACGGGTCCCAGTCTCCCTCCACCACAGGGTCCCAGTCTCCCTCCACCACGGGTCCCAGTCTCCCTCCACCACGGGTCCCAGTCTCCCTCCACCACAGGGTCCCAGTCTCCCTCCACCACAGAGTCCCAGTCTTCCTCCACGACAGGGTCCCAGTCTCCCTCCACCACGGGTCCCAGTCTCCCTCCACCACGGGGCCCAGTCTCCCTCCATCACGGGGCCCAGTCTCCCTCCACCACGGGGCCCAGTCTTCCTCCATCACGGGTCCCAGTCTCCCTCCACCACGGGTCCCAGTCTCCCTCCACCACAGGGTCCCAGTCTCCCTCCACCACAGGGTCCCAGTCTCCCTCCACCACGGGTCCCAGTCTCCCTCCACCACGGGTCCCAGTCTCCCTCCACCACGGGGCCCAGCCTCCCTCCACCACAGGGTCCCAGTCTCCCTCCACCACAGGGCCCAGTCTCCCTCGACCACAGGGTCCCAGTCTTCCTCCATCACGGGGCCCAGTCTCCCTCCATCACGGGGCCCATTTTGCCTCCATCAAGAGGTCCAGTCTCCCTCCACCACGAGGCTCTGTCATCCCTTCCACGACAGTATCCAATTCTCCCTATACCACAATGACGAAGAACATCTACCAAGAAGAACTTCCAACATAAAATAATATTTTCTTAAAACTGTATTGGAGAAATAAGAAGAGACGCATAACTTCAGAAAGTATTAAACATCTCAGGTTTACTGGACACAAATATAAGAACCTAGCGGGTACATTTCGGGAAACGATTGAAGAATTTAATAAAAGACTCAGGAAATATACTTTACCGTATGAGCAAAAGAAGTGACACCATATTATTGGGTGATGTTGCTACTGCGTTGGTAGTGGCGGTGCACAAACACAGATACAAAAAAAATGCAACATATTTGTCAATAATACTGTGGCCTTAATATGAACAACTATATAGTTAGAGACGATGTGTTTAGCATCACATTTACTGAACACAATTCCGTAATTGTTTGAAAAACACAAAATATTATATATACATACATCCCTTGCACTAAATAATAATAATCGCTTGTGTAATTGGGGACAATATAATATATGTGTTATATCGGTGTCAAACTAGGATCGAGATGTAACAAAGACCGTTATTGCCAAAAAACACATCTGGCAGTAAACCAACATTTTTTTCAAGCAAGCCTGACTCTGCTGGCAAGACACTGAATGTCGAACATCATTTTTATGATTATCGTATTGAACATTGAGATGCAGTTCATGAGCAGGCGTGCAATCGATTGTGTGGCACGGCGGCGGTGAGGAACGGCGATGGCGTGGGAGGCCGTCATCCGACCGTGGATGAACCATGGCAATAAAGACTCGTAGCAGCAACCACCACAATTCACGATTAAGTCGTGAGGTCACCACAGCGCTTTTGCCAGGCTAGGTGGACTTTCAGATCATGTGACGTGTCGAAGGATCGCTGAAAGGTCAGTCAGGTGTTACGGGTGAACTGGCAGAGATGACTGGCAAGATGCACACTTGTGCTCGCCATAGCGACACTGTGAGTGTGTCAAACTGCCTAGCAGCGTCCTTCACGAGGCCGATCTTGACACTGCTGGTACCGGTCATTGACAAAATCCACTCAGGTCCACGTCCTCCTGTGTTACATCAGTCCATCTCTTCGCTCGTCCGTGCCGGGCCCGTTGTGTGCACCGTCCATCCGCACAAACAAACGCCGTTGGGCATGTGGTGGCTCGGCATGCGAGCTATGTGACCTGGTCAACGCACCCTCACCTGCCGAGGGACTCACTAATGGGACACGCATTTAAATTGTTGAAAAATATAAATTTGACCTGAAAATGTTGTCGAGCTGAAACATCTCGT